CAATGGTGAGAAATCCACTCCAAATAAATCATAGTGTTTGTTCTTCAAACTTTCTCTCTCTAGAACTCTGTTTTTGCTCCAAAAATTCGATTCGTCTCTCAAAGACCTGAAATTGGGTTAAAACCCAGAAATAACGACGACACAACCAGGCCACACGACCGTGTAGAAATCCAGTCTGGCCGTGTAACTCCCAAAACACGACGTTGCACTTAGTTGGTCGAAGGAAGTCACACGGCTAGACCACACGGCCGTGTGAAAGTGAGCATTGCCCGTGTAGACCCCCCTGGACATTCCATACGGCCAAAATGTGCCCTTGCACAGCCAGTACGGCCTTGGCCGCGTAAAAATCATATACACGGCCACACCTTACGGCCGTGTAGAATTTGCTCTTGTCCGCGCACGACCATGTTGCACGGCCGCTTGAAATCGACCCCGAACTTGTGCCCAAGTCTTCATTCACATACTAGGACCTGAAATATCACAAACAAGAACAACCTAGCGTAAAATAGGCCAAGACACCACAAATTCAAACTAAAACAATTAAGAAACAAGGGTGCAAACATGTGCAAATATGGTGCTATCACTAGGTCACTCTCGTCTCATCTTTCACTCAATGTCTTATTATTTTTATAGCACAAGGTGAACACTCTTATTAGTCGTATTTCAACCTCTAATCCATCGAATCAAAAATTACCAATAACAGTATATTGATATATTACCATCTTCCCCTTCTCTTTATCCCTCCTTTAACTCTAGTAAAAATTCAAGACTCTTTGCACATATTCTTTGGAGAACCTGTGATGGATCCATGCAATGAAGACATTGAATGATCCATCAACGCGGACATTTGATTAATTCTTATTAGGTTTTCTCGCCTCAACTTTCATCACCAATATTTTGATTAATCAAATTAAACCTACAAGCCCTACATCATAGAAGCTCTCCTGGATTACGAGAGTTTAAACCATTAACTTTTGATGGTTGTTGGCCCCAAAGTTCGAACCTAGGGTGTGGCGAAAAACCATTATTTATTTATTCATTCACATATTTAGTTATTAATTATGAAGGTAATTGATGTGGTATTTCAGAATAAATATATCATACCAAAATATATTGGGATTGGAATATCAAACTTATTTTTTATTTATGATTGGAATTGATTCTAGGGAATTTTTCTGTATTCGACATTTCGGTAGTTAGTAGGAGGATATTGATATCGTATCGATTCGCTCCCAGAGTTGATATTGACGTATGAAGATAGCTTAAGACTACTAAATTGGCCATAATATAAAATTTTGTATGCCTTATTTAACATTTTGAATGAATAGAGTACTTCATCCTCAAACATATAATAACTTAATTGCTGGAAAAACATACAATTATTTTGTCATAATTGACTTTTCTAAAACATGATTCAGGGGAAAAACCAATTGAATATTTAAAAAGAAGTATAGGGTTTTTGCATAACACTTATGAGATTTGTCCAACTTCATTATTTGGAGCTCTAAATTGTATACCAAGTTTTTGGATGAAAAGTTTTTGTTCGTCATATGAATTCATAAATATTCACATCAATATGTGGGATTTGGAAAATCCAAGATAACAAGTTATCAATCTCTACCTACTTTTCTTGTTGTTCCAAATTTATTCTCACTAATTTTTTCCCCTTTGTATTTTTCAATCATTTCTCATTTCTGTTAATGATAGCCTAACCTAACACTTTACTTGTATTTTTAAGAGTAATTGTTACAATCTCTTGCTAGAAAAGAGAAGTTTGGCACCCACGTGTCCACAAAAAATCTGGGCACAAAATCTATGTTGCAGATGATGAAAATTCGCCTTTAAGAGGGCATCTACCCTCTGTCTAGGTTAACAAGGATCTGCGAGCGCCGAAAAGTGAGGAGGGGCATCCATCTTACCGGATGGAACAGAAGTCGGGACGCCAAATAGGGGCCCTTAAGCATAAGGACTCTAACCATCGCACCTTGGTGATAGGGAGACCGAGCACCCAGAGAACCGAGGAGTTTACTCCATCTATGCAAAGAGGAAGCCCGTGGGGCTTCATCATGTCCAAACCGGTCCAAACGCCACGCGGGGTTCGCCAGAAGGGTGCCATGGGGGCTGGACGAGAGAACCAGGACAATCCCATGAGGACTCGCAGGCAGGGACAGTCAAGGTTGGAGGAAAGCAAAGTCGCTTGCTAGATGATGATATGATTGATCATGGGCGAGCTAAGCATCAACCTACAGGTCGGAAAAAAAAAATTCTTGGCACTGATTTCATTATGCTCTATACCTCCCCAACGTCGGAAATTGGTTTAATAATAATCGGATGGTGAGTTTGAGCTGGAGGAGATGCAACTGAGCACTGAGCTTCTAAGTGATGTTGGTCATCACATGGCTCGTGCTAACTGAAAGAGGCGGCAGGCTCCAAGCATTAAATCGGGGAGGACTGGGGGAGAGGAGACAACAGGACGCGCTCTTGCCACATCCACGCATCGACGTCTCCGGAAGATGTCCGACACCGTGAATGAGGTTAGGGATGAGTCACTGCTAGCTCCCCGACAAACTGCGGATTGCAAAGGGAAAGGAACGCAGATTGCAGAGGAATCGGAGTATGAAGAATGGAAACCAGAACTCAAGATTGTGGCCGAGGTCGCCTAACCTAAGAGAGTTGGGGTTTCGAGCCACCTGAATGAGCATATTGGCGATGACTCAGATGCCACTCTCTCGGAAGAAGGGGTGAATGAGTTCATCATCCAAAGCAGGCCACTTTCGAAGCCAAACTTGAAGACTAGTTCGAATGCAGCTGGACGAGTTCGCAAGGCGGTGCAAGCATTTGAAGCAGGACAAACAATGCCCATTGAGGATGTTGCCTCTCCAGACTGGACTGCTGTTGGTGTGACCTTCTCTTTGAACGAGTATGGCTCGAATGCTCCTATCCTGGGAATAGGAAAGACAAAACATGCTCGTGAAGAAGTTGTTGGGGAGTTCGAAGGAGACCATAGTTTGAAAAGGCAGTTTTTTTGAAGAGAATGAAGAAGAACATGGAAAGGTTGAGGAATCCAGCCTCAAATGGCCCGAGGAACTTAAATGAAAATACATGCCTGAAATGTGAGAGGAATTGGACCCTCCTCACATTCCAAACTGCATTAGGTTTAGTTCCTTCGAATAAACCGGAGCTTGTTTTTCTGTTGGAAACAAGATCTAGTCGGAGAGTTGTTTTGCATCGTATGTGGGGTTTAGGTTTTCAGCTTCCTTTTTATTTTATTTTGATGCAGTTAACGCATCTGGTGGTCTAGTTGTAGCTTAGTCCCCTCAATTTGATGCTTCGGTGTTTTACCATTCTAATTTTTTCATTTGCAATCGTATTAATGAAGGAAACCTTTCTTATGTGGTTGTTTGTATTTACATTAGCTGTAACGAAACCACACGTGCTTGTCATCTTGATGAACTTCGACAGATTTGTGATGAGATCCAGTTACCCTTCGTGGTAATAGGCGATTTCAATACCAAGTTAGATTCAGGCGAAAAAGATGGGGGCAATCCTTGGAATGTGGGCCAATGGGTAGCACTTCATACTTTCATTCGGAATCTTGGCCTCCATGATCATGGCTACCAAGGTGATCAATTCACTTGGACTAACAAAAGGATGGGCATGGCCTGTATTCATGAAAGGTTGGATTGTGCACTTTGCTCACAAACTTGGATTAATAATTACCTTGATACTCTTGTTAAACACTTCACGGACCAAGGGTGTGAACAAGCTCTGCACTTATCTGATAAATCTTATCCCCAAAATAGTCGACCTCTCTTTAGGTTTGACGTTCGGTGGGCAGATAATCCGGAGGTCATGGCTATAGTGAACTATGTTTGGCAAGTGGAAATTCATGGGTTCCCTATGTACAAACTCTGGACCAAATTAAAAAAACACATTCATTTGTTGTATGATTGGATTCGAGTGGGGACCACAAATTCCTTATGTAACATAAATACCCTCCAATTGGAGATTGATCGTATTAAACAACAACTTCCAATTAATTAGGATGAAGTGAAAATTCTGGAACGCGACCTTAGCCGTCAATGGGCAGCGGAGGAGAGCTTTTGGAAACAAAAGTCCAGGGTGCACTAGTTGAAAAAGGGAGATCAGAAGACTTCTTATTTCCATACGATCACTAGATCCAGGAGAAAACGTAATTTTGTGCGTGGTCTCAAGAATGATGAGGGTGAATTGATCACGGAGGAAAAGGGGAAGGCGGATATTGCCATTGACTTCTATCAAACTCTTTTCACTTCATAAAATCAGATTATGAACATGGGAACGAGGGTGGACGGTCTGTAACACCTTAGGCAAATCCCACATCGACAAAGCACAGGATGTTACAAGTGATATCAGAGCCTCTATGCGTCCCTCTTAAACGATGGTGGGGCAAACCTCAATGAGGGTGTTGAGTCCCGGGGGGTGTATGTAACACCTTAGGCAAATCCCACATCGACAAAGCACGTGAGAGATCCATGGTTCATAAAGTAGGAAACCGACCTTAACTAACAAGACGCATTTTAGGGTGTAATGGAGGAGTTCTTGTGAGAAATTTGAAGTTAAACATGCTCAATGTGGAGTACAACAAGGATGGGTGACCTTATGGGAAGTCACCCTGAATTGCACCCCCATTCGAAAACCGTGCGGGTGTAGAGGCCCAAAGCGGACAATATCTTGTCGGGAAAAGGTTCGAGATGTTACACGGTATTCCACTTCTGGAAAAAGTAACTGAAGAAATAAATGTGTGCCTAACAACCAGAGTCCTTCCCAATGAAGTTCGCCGAACAGTCTTCTTTATGGGCTCGAAGCAGGCGCCTAGTTCTGATGGTTTTACATGAAAATTTTTTAAATCCTTTTGGGACATTGTGGGTGAGCCTGTGGTGGATGTTGTCTTCTAGTTCTTTCAAACAAGCCGGATTTACGAAGCTTTAATCATACTTGGCTTACTTTGATACCAAAAGTGGATAATGTGGAATTCATTCTCCAGTTGAGGCCGATAAGCTTATGCAATTAGTGTATAAAATTATTACCAAATTCATGACTGAGAGGCTTGCCCAAATTCTCCCGCATATAATCTCTGAAGGACAAAATGCGTTTATCCGAGAAAGACAAATTGTGGAATGTGTTACTAGGGGATGAACTTATGCATTATCTGAAAATCAAGAATCGTGGGAAGAAAGGGTACATGGATCTAAAAGTTGACATGGAAAAGGCCTATGATAGAGTCGAATGGCGCTTTCTCATTGCAATATTAGACAAATTAGGGTTCAACCAGACCTGGATCGGCTGGATTCAGGAATGTCTTAATTCGTCGTCTTTCTCAATTCTCATGAACGGTACGCCCTATGCTTTTTTCAAACCCACTCATGGGCTTCGTCAGGGTGACCCACTTTCCCCTCTCTTATTTGTTCTGTGTATTGAAGGGTTTGCGGCTCTTCTCCGGAAAGTTGTTGCCGAAGGTAAAGTTAGGGAGTGAAAGTGGCGCCTCGAGCACCTAGGATCTCTCACTTGTTTTTTGCTGATGACTCGTATTTATTTCTTAGAGGATCTCTACAACAATGTGAGAATTTGATTGAGGTGCTCAATGAATATGAGAAACTGAGCGAGCAACGAGTTAACCTGGCGAAATTGGCGATTTGTTTCAGTCAATGTTCAAGAAGGCGCTAGGCGTAAGGCTAGCGTTGGTGCCTCGCCTAGAGCCTTGCTCGCCTAGGCGTAGACTAAGCGTGCCTAGGCGTTGGAAGAAAATATATAATTTTTTACTGCATGAAGAATGAAATAACAATTTACAACACTTTCACACTTTTGTTTAAATGATTAATAACTTATTTAACACTTAACAATAAGAAAAATAGCTAACATGTTCATAGAATCATAACTCAATAGCTCCTAATCTTTTGAGTTATTGAAAATATTGATATAGAAGATTTTATTTTTTATATGAGGCTCATCCCGCATTTGATATTGACTACCTGACTCCACTAACTATGCATAATGAACATTTAGGTGCCAACTTACTCTATCAATGTGTTCTCAGTACCTAATTCACTGCGAAATCTCTAGGCGAGGCGTTTTGGCATTGCGTTGCACCTAGGCATACCTAAGCATATGGTTAAGAGCTTTTTTTTTTAACCATGGCTATTAGTTATAATATGTTATTATTAGTGAATAATAATAGCTGGATCCCATGGATGGCAGCATCGCAACTCAAGAGTTTCTTTCTACAAGACTAGTAGAGAAACAGATGACGGTGTCGTTTATGATATTTTCACATTTTATTCAGTTTCCGAATCATTCTCTACCCAGCCTCCCCGTCGCCTCCCCAACGCTTTTGTATGCCTGGATAAAGTGTAGCCTCGTCGCCGCTTTCCACCATTCTAGCATTATGAGCGCTTTTATCTACGCCTTTAGCCAAAGTGAGGCGTTCCTCTCCCTCCTATCGCTTAAGCTAGTCTAGGCGAGCGCCTAATAACGCCTTCTCGAACGCTGGTTTCAGTAAGAACGTTTCGATCCCTGATCATGAATTCTTGGCCCAAATTTTGGGCGTGGGAGCTGTGGGAATTCAGGATAAATATCTGGGATTTCCCACCCTCATATCCCAATCTAAGATGGCTACATTTCGTTGAGGAACGGTTGATGGCACGCCTCCAGGGGTGGGCCCAGCGGACATTGTCTTCGGCGGCTAAGGAAACCTTGATTAAGTCAGCAGCCTCAGCTTTACCGTTGCATGTGATGTCTTGCTTTAAACTCCCTCTCAAGTCGTGCCGCATTTTGGATAGGCTTATGGCACGATTTTGGTGGGGAGTGGAAGATGGGCATTCCCGTATAAGATGGATGTCGTGGCGTAAGATGTGTCATAGTAAGCATGAGGGTGTCATGGGATTCCATCGGTTTGAGCACTTCAATAAGGCTTTATTAGCCAAGATTGGGTGGCGAATACTTAATGACCCTACATCCCTTCTTGCTCAGGTGTATAAAGGGAAATAATCCCTACTAGCACTTTTCTCACCGCTACTACGCGATCTCGTCCTTCCATGGGATGGCAAAGCATCCAATATGGGGGTCAACTCTTGGTTCGGGGCCTTCACTGGCACATTGGGAATGGCAGGATTGTGTCTGCTTTACGGGATATTTGGATCTCTGCCTTGCATCCTGACCCTCCACTTTATAACCTGCAGGTGCTTCCAGAAGGGGGGAACCTTAAGGTGGCTGATTTGTTATACCCAGGAGAGGGACGTTGATCCGATGAGAAACTTGGCCAGTAGTTCCCTCTAGCCAATTGTCATGCTATTAAAGCTATTCCTCTACCCCTCCAGGACATGGAGGACAAGTAAATCTCGCATGCCACGTGTGATGGAGTTTTTACTGTTAAATCGGCCTATCACCTAGCGGTGTTGATGGATATCACCTACTCGGAAAAGCTAGATCTAGTTTTGGGGTTCCTCAATTCCACCTAAATTGAAGATCTTTTTGTGGCAAGTGTTGCACCATTTCCTCCCAAAAACGGAAGCCTTTATTCAGAAAGATGTATTGGTGCACCCACGGTGTCCGGTCAGTTGGGAAAACTCTAAGGCTGTGGAACATCTCTTTCTGGAGTGCCCTGTTGTTATAGCGTTGTAGGATCTTGCAGGGCTAGAGCATCTTGGCCAAGGGCTCCCTCGTCATTGATGACTCGGTATTTGCACATGCTTTCCCCATTGTTTCTTGATTGTTTGAGCTTGAATTATTGCGTCTTTGTCCTATTTTATGCTAGGTTGTGTTACTTTGTCACATTTCAGGTCCTAGCACATAAAGGGAAGCATAGATGCAAGTTTCAAATCAATCAGAGATCAATTGACGATTCGGGAGAAGAAACTCGGGGATGACCTGAAGAAGAATAGATTTCTACCTCACTTTATGGACAAAGAATCATGCAAGCTTGTCATGAAAAGAAAGAGGACGAGACTACGAGCGTCTGGGATCAAACGGGGACTAATTCGGAGTCCGGACGAGGGAGAAACGAAGCATTAAACAGAGGCTGAGCAAGCCACACGGGCATCCTGGAACTCCACACGGCCGTGTGGGTCGTGGCCGTGTGGAAATCACCGAGCCTTCACACGGGCAGCTGGGAAAGCCACACGGCCGTGTGGTCTGGCCGCGTGATCGGGAATTTCTGTTTAAAACTCGATTTTCAGCCAAAGGAAAGGGGAGAGCTGGGTTTTTGGTTCCCAAACACCCAAGGGACGAACCCTAGAGAGAGAGCGACTTGGGAACATTCTTGGAGCTATTTTGGAGGATTTCTTTGTCATTGGAGCTCGGGAATCAAGCTTGGAGATGGAGATTGAAGAACTAGATCAGATTTCTGCAGTCTCTCTCTTCTCTATGGAGTAACTTCCCTTCACTTAGGTTTTGAGGAACCCTAGCTATGTTTGTTTGATTGGATGATTGTATGAGTACTCTGACTTGATAATCTTGAGTTCATATTCAATCTATGCATATTTTCATGATTCAATTCTGCTTTAGTCGAGATTATTAATTCTGCTTTGATCCTATGAGAGGGAATACCTGATTAGGTCAATAGAGCACCATAGATTGATAGTAGTGGATCGATTGCTTTAGTCGAGGGTTGATTCACTGCTTTGTATCGATTGAGAACCTCTTTCGATAGAGGGAGTCTAGTTCAGAACGCCTTGATCAATTGTTCTAGAGAAGGATACGTCCCTCTAGACAATTGACTCAAGAGGGCCTTGTTCCTTTAGTCGAGACTCAAGGTCTAGTCAAGGATTCTCCGCATTGTGAATGAAAGTGAAACAAGTTAGAAATCATCAATCGTTAGTCTGGCTAGTGGCTAGGGGGAATCATACCTAAGTGAGTTCCCAACCTGTAATTAGATTAACTTTAACTGTAGTTTGCTATAGTAGTTTTAGTTCTTTCATCTTAATCTGGTTTGCTAAATAATAAACTGAAGCTGAGTAATAGTAACTCTAGAGACCCGTGGATTCGATATTTATCACTTGAGCCACTATACTGCAGTCCCTTCCATTGGTTACACTTGGCCATTGTTAGGTGTTGTGTCGTAGCGAATCAGTCATACTCTCCAATGTTTCTCAAAAAGCTTATGGTTATTGTTCAGAGTCTGCATCAAGTCATGGCGGTTGTGGCTGTGTTATGGCGGATTTGGAATTCTCGTAACTAGGTTGTCTTTGAAGGCAAACAGTTTGGGATCCCCGCTCTAATGAGACAATACTATCAGCAGTTGAATGAGTGGACATCTCTGCCTAAGGACCAGGTGGTGTGCACCCCTGGGGCTGGGGCTGGTGGTGCGCAGCCTGTCAACCCTAGTTCTATAGTCTACAGGTGGGATGGGGCGACGAGGCGTGGGTCACATTCGGCTGGGGGGATGATACTCGTGAACCAAGGGGGGAGGTCATCTCTGCTGCAGCAGTCCATTTCCCGGGGATGGATGATCCCATGATAGTGGAGCTCTTGGTTCTCCAAGAAGCAATTATGTGGTGCATTCAAAAGGGTTTTTCGATGGTGAGGTTTGAGGGAGATGCGTAGGTGGTTATCGATAGGCTTAATCAAACTCAAGAGCATGATAGCAGAGCAGGTACATCTCCATGAGGTTCTACGATATTTGGCTGAGCATGTGGGGTTTAGTGTTCGATTCATAGGTCGGCTTAATAATAGGGTAGCTCACTTGGTTTGAAAGGCCCTTTCTTTTACCCGATAGCGTGTAGTTCATTTGATTTTGTGGCCTGGCTGAACCACATGATGTAATGATCTATTTTTTTCATATCAATATATGATTATCTTTTGTAAAAAAAAACGGAGTCGCAAAGAGAAATATTATTGTTATTCGTCATATTAATATTCAGTACTCAAATGAGTATTACTTAAGTTCTGATTTCAAGATCAGTCTCTTTTATAAGATATAAATGACTTCAAGTAAATTAGTTATTAACATCGAACTTAAATAATAAAAAAGACAAATATATATATATATATCGAGCACTGAAAAATTTCTAACATTTAATTAAAGAAATTGTAACAAATACATTATATGTAGTTTAGTTGGTCATAGTACTTACCACTTGAACAACCAAGATTCAAATCTTAGTAATAGGAGTTTTATACGTGCAAAAACATTTGGCCGCAAACTAGTTATTTGTGGCGGCCGGTTTCAACAGTTAATTGCTTGTATTAGACCGTCGAACTAGTTTATGAGTCGATTTAGAGTTATCCGAATTGAATATAGGATTCAGATCGAGGTTCTTAGTCGAATTAATTGATATGATTTTAATAACTATCCACAGTGCAAGTCAGAATGTCTATGTAATCCCTGGAGATTTGGAAAGAATCATAGACCTTCCCATCTCTGCACTTCTTTAAGTTTCACAAACCCATTATCAAATTCTCGGTATAAGCTTTCACCCAAAACAAAAAAAAAGTCTCTCTATAAGCTCCACTTGGGATGAACTGCAGCAAACATGGATTGTGATAAAATCTGAACACATCTTGCCCAACATACACTCTAAATATCTAAAACTAGCAAAATCTAGCCATACTCATACCAACTTGCCAAAAATTCGAATTGACCAAAACCTCATTCACCTACACCATACCACTCCAAAACCTGAACAAACCACTACTGACCTATAACCTGAATGCCTGATTGATCTATAACTCTATCAATTCATACCAAACTAGTCATCTCTTATTTATAAAATTTGAATATCAAATCTCGTCTATACCAATGCAATATATTCCACAGGGGGAAAAAATACATTCCACGGCTAATTACAGGGGGGAAAAATACATTCCACGACTTGTTACATTTATACCTCTCATTCACAGTAAATAAAAAGAAAACAAAAAGGAATCAAGGTTTTGGCATTAGATTTTAGGAGTGTACTCTTAGTTGATATGATTGGAACAAAAATTAAAATTAATTTGTTCATCACAATAATTAATATATGATTTCACAATAAATTTGATTATCATAACTGCACAGCCATACGGCATCTACATCGATCAGGGCGGAACAGGAATTAGGTAACACAACGAAACAGCAGCCGGTGGTTGGCCCGCCGTCCCCTAGCGCCGCTTCCGAATAGCTCCGCCGTCGGCATCGACCATAATGGAGCTCGTACTCATGCTTGCCGATGACTTGTACCGCTGGTGATGATCCTCTGATGACTTCAGGAAAGCTCCGGCCGAGACGTAGAGATGGTGATGGCTTGATCCGCTGCTGCCGTTCTCCGATTTGGTGGGTGGCTGCTCGGTGACTTGGGCGTCGTTGTCGGCGGAGAGGCATTGGTAGCGGCGGCGAGTGTTGTATTTCTTGAGGGCTCTGTAAGCCATGGGAATGAGACCGTCCATGGCGATTGGGGGAAAGCTGAACGTACGAAAGAGAGATCGAGTTGAAGCAGAAATTGAGATGTGTTGCTTGCTTCGTGTCGTGAGTTAACTTACCTAAAGGGTCTATATATACTAGTGTAGTGTTACGATGATCATGAGTCCATTACTAATAAGGAAACGGATTACGTTCTCCAAAATGAATAAGGAAAAGGATTAATTAACTTTTATAACAATCCTAATCATTGCAGGATAATGAATAGCGAAACATAAACAAATAAGGATTAAGACTCTTTGATCGTGTGATTTACTACATGATACTTACATTTTTAACACTCTACTAGAGTCGCCAGAGAAAGTAAAGTTTTAACAAGTAAAATGTGTTCTAGTCCCTGTGGAATTAACCCTGCATTATAGGTCCTGTACATTTAAAAGCTTACACATACAAATCCCCATTCGAAAGTTATGAGAATTTTAACCGTGATACTTGTAGAGCTTATCGTTTTGTACCCGTTAAGGGAGACGATAAACCTATAAAACCAGTTTTGTTTCGATAATCGCCTCCCCTAGTATTAAGTGAAGGCCTTGGAGTGGTGTCATCAATTCATATGTACCGGAAGAAAAGACAAGACTGTGCTTTGAGTGTGTGACTCTATTCCCTTGACGATATGTGTCAGCTAAATGTACTACCCAATCTTGGGCAAGTATACATCTAATAGCTGCGAGTAAGGTGGAGTAGGGATGAAGAGGATTCATTTTGTTGTTCTCTAGCTCGATTTCCAGCTGCGAATCAGACTCCACTAGGAGGGTCCTTCAACCTTGATTCCAAGTTAAGGTTAGCCATTATAGGCTCTGCCATTTTTTACGAACAATTTAATCAAACTGGTTACAACGCTTTCTCATCACCTAATCAACATGAGTAAGGAAAAGGATTAATTAACTGTTATAAAAATCCTAATCATAGCAGGATAGTGAATACTGAAACCTAAACTAATAAGTATTAAGAGTTTAAGACTGTTGGATTGGGTAATTTACTACATGATACTTATATTTTTTAACACTTCTCTACAGGGAAAGTGTAGTTTAAATCGCTAAATTATGCTCTAGTCCCTATAGATTTTAAGTTTTCATTATAGCACCTATACTTTTAAAAGCTTACAAACAATCTTATCTAGAAGTTATTACAATTATTTTTTTAGAAAGATCGACGCTTTCGTGTCTAATTCATTAATAAGTAACAATCGTTAGCAATTATGAAAATTTTCAACTCACTGGCAACTGATTTTTTTTTTCTTCTGTGGTGGCATTCATGCCAAAGAAGAGAGAATGATAAGGGACTGTTTATTTTCATTTTTGTTTCTTGTGATTGTGATAACAGAAAATAGATACTAAAGGAAATGAATCGACCATTTTACTGTTCTTCTCTTTCTTTTTATTTCAATAATGTCAACGCCATTATAAAAAAAACATGAAAACTTGTTTACGTGATATTTTTATTGCATTATGATACTAAAAACGGAATGATGGAAAATTGTTTGAAATCAAAGCAAACAAAAGTTGAATGATTTAAGCAATAAAAATGATGAAATAAAATTATTACATATAAAACGAGGAAATTTTTTACTTTTTTAGAGAAGAAATTAGATAGATATAAAGTTTCTAGTGATTTTTTTGAAATCAAATATTTCATATTGTTTGTTATAAATGTTTTTGTGTTTGAATACATGTTTTTACTTTTCAAACTCCATGTCATCATTGTCATGTAGTTGGTGCATACTTTCAATGACTACTTTTGATTACACATCATGTTCTAGGCCATTCAGTTATTAAGTTAATGATACATTTTGGAAGGTTTTTCTTTAATTCAATTATAAATGTGTTCCATATGATTTGGGAGTTCAGTTCAATTAATTTGTGAATATTTGAATATATCATCCCAAACATAGAAATTTATTTGAAAATAAATTTTGCATTTTAATTCATTTTGAAGTGAAGATTCACTTGGCTTCAAATGGTATATAAAGTGAAAATTTTATCTAATAAAAAGATAAAATTTGTATAAAAAGGAAATTAAAGGATTAAAATAAAATTATTAAAAATAATTGTGAGCAATGACATTTGAATTTTTCACCTTATCGATAATAAAAAAAATATTGCTTTGTTTAAAATAGGAGAAAGCAGATCTTGAAACTGGTGGAAACTCTTGTTTTGGAATACAATAGGAAGCTACATACCGCCTTTTGTTTCCAGAGTTGGAAACGAACATAAGCATAATAAAAAGTAGGGTACATACAATATATTAGTCACAACTACTATAAAGCGGAGAATTATAGCCACAACTATGAAAATTCAAATTATTAGCAATAACTATTGTTGCGGGTCAAGATATGGCTAACTATCCATTGCTTTTATAGAATTTTTAACGGAGAAGTTCACTTCATCGGCCACTGCAACAGCCACTTGGGACTGCTTTTAATTTATAACTTTAGAACATAAAAGTTTAGTCAGTATTACTAACGAAATTGTTAACAAATTGTTAACGCTTGGCTAATAATTTGAATTTTCATAGTTATGGCTATAATTCCCCACTTCATAATAATTGTGGCTAATATATTGTATTTACCCTAAAAAGTAAACAAGATTTTTGGGTTCTGTTGCTATAGATTTTGTGAATGGAAGCATATAACAAAAATTATTACAAATCGGAACCCTATGATAACAAGTTTTGACATTAGGTTTTAGGAGTGTACTCTTTGCACGTAGGAGTGTACTCTTTGTAGGTATTATTGGAACAAAAATATGAAATTAACTGATTCATCACGTAAGTCATTGATATTTGTTTGGGGTGTTACTAAACACTCCGTTCACGGATTAAGTAGTAGGGCGCACAATCGGCGATGCGCGACGCGCGATACGCGCTACGGTATATAAGGGCTTGAAGCCCCCCAAAGGAGAGGACTTCCTCTTTCTCCTGACTTTCCACTTTCTACTATCTCTCTCTACACTTCATCTCTCTATCTGTTCTCTCAACTCTCTCCACAAACATACACTGACTTGATCGTTGGAGCTCAATCCGGGGGGCATCCCCGGTCTTTTCAGAGGTTTCTTGTCTCCCGACGAGATCAGACGAACGGATCATGAGTCAACCCCACACCAACAAATATCATTGTTCGTGTCCTGAGCTAGATGGCACAAACAATTGGCACCCACCGTGGGGCGATTTGAATTTGTTCGTTCGTTCGTCGCGGAAGGAGGACGAACTCTTGATCTGAAATGAATACAAAAGCTTCATCGGAAAAAAAAATATAACAAGAAAAGCCAGCCGGAGTTGAAGAAACAGAAAAGCTCTTCCTTCCCCACCACCCACCAACGGCGACAACAACGAAAACGAAAACAGAAGGAGAGTGCTCAGGGAGAGTCCGCCGACCAACGAAAGAGGTGAGAAAAGCTCAACGGGAAAAGAATTTAAAAAAAAGAGGGCAGTGAAATTTCCCCAGATTTCGACCGCCGGAGATAGGTGCGGCACCGACGCCCTGACGAAAAAGAAAGAAGAGTCACTCTCCAGTCAACATCAGTACTTTCTCTTCACTCTTCAGTCACCTCAACAGTAAAAAAAAAAAAAAAAAAAAAGAAGCAAAGCCACCTTCTCTCCTGTCAGAGGGAAGAGACAGGCGAAGTTCCCAAGAAGATAGGCTGGAGGCACATTGAAATAGAAAGGCGGAAGGAGCAAAGAGTCCGCTTCGGGTCCGAACTCGCGGCACAAACTCGCGCGCCATGTAGCCCAACTGGAAGATCGGCCCATGTCACGGCCAGCCCGCCTCCACCTCGCGAATCGACTCTCACTTGGCCCGATCCGCCCCACGCCATGTAGCCCAACTGGAAGATCGGCCCATGTCACGGCTAGCCCGCCTCCACCTCGCGGATCGACTCTCACTTGGCCCGATCCGCCTCACGCTGATGGCGCGCCCGTTCCGCTCAGTTCCTCCTTCCACGGGCCGCCATGACCGTCATCCTCCGCTTTAGCAAGTCTCACGCGGAGCCCGCCACAGGCCCACCACGACCTAGCTCGTCTCCACCGCAGATCGGGCCATCTCCAACTCGCAGTGGGCCCGCTTCTCGTCATCCTTCAACTCCACTAGCGCGGAAGCAACTCGCGGCCCAACAACCGCTCCCGGCCCGTCGCATAGCTCTGACAAAGCCCACGTCACCAGCCCGCGCCCGAGTCAAGCATCACAGGCCACAGTCTTGTCGCGGCCCACTTCGCCAATCCCCACAGCACTCAAAAAATGTTGCTTTCGCCGTAATTTGAACCCGTGCCACTCTTCCACCAGACAAGCAAGATTACCAACAGGCTACAAGCGAGCATTGTGTTTCAATGGCGCGGCGTCTGATTTTTAACTATTCGCGCCCATACAGTTCGACAGAACAAAAAATAGCAATAGTTATAAACTATTCGCGCCCACTCAGTTCGACAGAACAAAAAATAGCAATAGTCAGGAACTAATCGCGACCACTCAGTTCGACAGAACAAAAAATAGCAATAGTCATGAACTATTCGCGCCCACTCAGTTCGACAGAACAAAAAATAGCAATAGTCATGAACAATTCGCGCGCACTCAGTTCGACAGAACAAAAAATAGCAGTAGTCATGAACTATTCGCGCCCACTCAGTTCGACATAACAAAAAATAGCAATGGTCATGAACTATTCGCGCCCACTCAGTACGACAAAACACAAAATAATCACTCACCTCCATCACGCTTCATGAAGAGCAAGGAAGCCAGCCAAAATGCTTAAGCCATGAATCGAACTCGGGCAACTGCAGTCCCTAGCGCGCGTGCCAACCAATATGCCACAAGCTCGACAAGTGGTCATAGTCCGCATGGACTTATGTTATTGGCTCTTTCTTCCGCACCACCCTCTGTTCCGATCCGCGCCTCACACCGGGTTTTGCCCCGCCTTCCGCCTCCACACCAGTCTCGCGGCTGATGGGCCAACCACCAACGTGCGGCCCAATCTTGGTCCACGCGCGGATCGCCAAGCCAAACAGCCTCCACACCAGTCTCGCGGCTGATGGGCCAACCACCAACGCGCGGCCCAGTCTCGTTTCACTCGCGGATCGCCAAGCCAAACATGTACCGAGCTCCTCAAAAAAATTATTTGTAGGCGCCAGTACTCGAACCCGCGCCACTCTTCCGCTATGCAAGCATACTGACCAGTAAGCTACAACAACAGCTTATGCTACAAGATGCGTCGCGCCCCTATTTCAACGATTGCCAAACCACGCTACATGGGCTTACATTTCGTCCACTCCAATCGCAGCCCACTCTCATCCGGTGACCACTTCGAACTCCCCGCATCGCATGGCTCGACACCAACTCGCGGCAAGACTGCTTTCGGCCGCTCTAAGAGGTAAATCCCGCCTCGCATTGCGCGCGCTCAATTAGCCTGCGAGCTCGCACTCTCAACTCGCGGATCAGGCCCAATGCTCGCGTTCCCCGGCCTGCTGTGCTGTTTAGGCGCGCTAGACAATGAGCTCATCAAAAATAATATTGTCGCCACCAGGATTCGAACCCACGCCATCACTCCACCTCACAAGCGCTATGACCAGTACGCCAGAAGAACAACTTGTATACTTTATGAGAGCCACTTTTATTAGACGATTGTACCGACACCAGGCCCGCAACCTTCATTTGATCCGCCTCTCAAGGCCCAACTCGCGGCCCATCTGACTCAACCCGCTTCACAGTGAGCCCTCCACAAGCGCACTGCAACTTGGCCCGCGCCCAAGCGCACTGTCCAACACGCGGCCCGCACTTCAGGCGGCCCAGCTCGCGCCCCGCATTCAACAGGCGTGGACCCCTTCAAAAATAATATGGTCGTAGCCAGTAATCGAACTCACATCACTCCTCCGCGTGACAAGCAACAATACCAGTAGGCTACATACGCGCCTTGTGCAAAAATAGTGCGGCGCATTCCACTTAATCAGTATCCTGCCGCCTCTCCAATTTAAAGCTAAGTACTTTATCTCTCTATCAATATTAAATATTGAAATATTTTACTTTCATGAGCGTTAATGGCGCTAATGGGGGCTACACGCCTTAATGAAATACACCAACTGGGGGGCATGACGCAAGAAGCTGGCACCGCGTCAGTCAAACGCGCCACCAGCTGGGGGGCAACTGGGGTACATAGGGCTCCACCCAGAATTACCGACGAAGATTTTTTTAAAAGAAATAATAAGCTAGCGATGAGTTAAGACTCACCACCAGCTTGGGGGGGGGGGGCAATTGTGGGGTGTTACTAAACACTCCGTTCACGGACTAAATAGTAGGGCGCACAATCGGCGATGCGCGCTACAGGTATATAAGGTCTTGAAGCCCCCCCAAATGAGAGGACTTCCTCTCTCTCCTGACTTTCCACTTTCTACTATCTCTCTCTACACTTCATCTCTCTATCTGTTCTCTCAACTCTCTCCATAAACATACACTGACTTGATCGTTGGAGCTCAATTCGGGGGCATCCCCGGTCTTTTCACAGGTTTCTTCTCTCCCGACGAGATCGGACGAACGGATCATGAGTCAACCCCACACCAACAAATATCATTGTTCGTGTCCTGAGCTAGATGGCACAAACAATATTCATACACAATAATTAATATATGATTTCACAATAATATTTGTTCTCATAATGAACTGCACAGCCATACGGCATCTACATCTATCAGGGAGGAAGCAGCAATGGAGCTTCGGAAGATCCAACTTTAGCCTGCAAGTTGAATTGGCGAGTCATTAGCACAACCCAAAAAGTACATTCACGGTGACGCTTCTTTTCTTCTTCGGGGGGCAAATAATCATTTGTCTGACTGATGCAATTAATACAGGTTGTTAATCCTCATCCTCATCCTCATCTCCAGACTCAACAACTGTTGCCCCACTCTGCAGCCTTATCATCACAAAACAACCTCTTAGACAAAGGCAGAGGGAAGAACAATCAGTCAGCCACAAGGCAAAGGACATTCGCCAGGAGTTCATGCATTTAGCCCAGCCCAATTCTTGAACGCTATAAGTGCTTCCATCTTCCGGAAGTTCCTCTTTCTCATTTTCGACACCTTGAGCTTCTTATGTGTCTCCATAAATGCTTGTTTGTATCTCCACTTATCCACAAAAATCTTCATCTCTTGAGATTTCTCCACAACTTGCATCACAGCATCAAAGTACCCTCCTTTGACCAAAGCATACAAGAAAGCATCAACCAAAGCATGATCAAATTTAACACCTCCCTCTTTCTCAGCAGTCGATATCCTCCGCTTCACCTCGTTCCAGTGCATCAATACACTGAAGTACTTCTCTGCCGTGACATACCCATTGATGAGTGACAAATATGTTTGATCGTTCGGTTCATATTGCAGGAAAACCATCCTTCTGAAAGTCCTTCTTGCATCTTCTAACCTCCCAGCTTTACAAAAGGCATGAATGATTGAATTCCAGTCATGGGTCTTCACTTCAATTCTAGGATCCTCGACTATTTCATCCAGAAAGGCAGCCATTAACTCAGGCCGATGACTCGCCATCAAACCGGTCATTATAGTCAAGTAACTTCCTTTCAGTTCAGGTACTCTTGCCTCTCTCATGTCCCTAAAAAGAGTAAAAGCCGACTGAAAATCTTGGCTAGTCATTGCTGCATCGATTAGAGAATCAAAGCTCTCTGCTGACAAATGCATACCTGAGTTGCTAATCTCCATCACTAGCTGAGTTGCTTCCGCTGTCCGATGCTCTTTGCAATATGCCTTCAAGATCGGTAGATAGACCCCAAGCCCCATGGTGCTGCCTTGAGCCACCATTTCATCGACAATGCTATGTGCTTTATCTGATAATCCGAGACTAACACAAGAATCAATTATGCCAAAACCGATTGACCTTTCTACCACTGTACTAGGCGGCTCCAATTTCTGAGCTTCAATAATCAGATCTGCTAAATCTTTCACACTCCCATGTTTGAGAAATCCATTGATCACTTCGCAGAAAGTCTCCCTACTAAAATGCATAACTTCTTGATTTTCTTCCTTCAGACAACTTAGAATTGTAGCTGAAACAGACTTCAAATAACCTGATTTCACATACCCACCTATCAAACTACTATAAAACAAGCTACTGTTTGAAAACCCAAAACCCTCTATCAAACCCTTCAATTCATTTATCTTCATCGTATGCCCTTTCAGTGCGTAGAGATAACCAAGAAACCCAAAGCTGAATTCATCAGGCTTAATGTTCAAAACCGACATTGTTTCAATAACACGCTCAGCGTCACGAATCGATTCTAGTTCACGACAACACCCTTCTAAAGCTACATTACAAGCATCTAAATCAGGCTTCATAAATACCAACTTCTCGTCAACAGCAACCCTGCAAGTTTCTTCAAACAGCTCCAAAAAGGAACAGAAACTCACATTCTTTCTACTGACCTCAATCAGCAAATCGCCCCACAAACCAAATGGCATGAAGTACCTGTTCTTGAACATACACTTGATCAAAGCGAAAGCAGGTGCAGCAGTGTTGGCACGTACCATGGACTTTAGAACCATACGAACCGTATCGAAATCCAACAGAGCAGGGCTTTTCTCCACGCAGTAGATGACGGAAGCGAAAGCTCTCTTGAGATTGAGGGTATCGGCGGCGGATGCGAGGTGGGTAATGAGTGAATTGGTGAGGGGTTTACTTGGCAGGGCAGAGTTCGAAGTGAGGGTCTTGAATGACTTCCACGCCTCATCGGTTTCGTTGACGAGAAGCGACTTTTCGAGTGTGGATTCTAAATGGGTCGCCTGGTCGTGGTTCAGAAGTTGCGTCGCCGATTTTTGATATACGGGCGCTGGCGGAGTTCGCTTAACGCTGAAGATGGAGGATTTTAGGAAGGAGTAAACCTCGGTCCCCGCTTCGGAATTATACCGTCTCCGTCGAAACGAAGATAGTGCTATGCGAGACAACATCGTAGAGCGGCCGCTGCAATTGAACAGTACCGACTTCACGCCGAGGAAAGAAGATGTAGCTCTGCGCATTTCCTCCTATATTAATGCTATAATTATTTATGATTTTGAAAAGAGAATCAATAAGCTGGAATAGCTCAGTTGGTTAGAGCGTGTGGCTGTTAACCACAAGGTCGGAGGTTCGAACCCTCCTTCTAGCGGTTTTACTTTTTTATTTTCTTTTCAACGATTTACCGGACCAGTCACCACAGCCCCTTAATGGGCTGAGCCTATATAACTAACTAAGCCCATATTCGTTGGGTCCATAAGAATGAGTCCGCACGAGTGACGACGGCTGCAAATTGGAATTCAATCCATATCCGGAAGTCAAAGCAAGGAAGGAAGTGAAGAAGAGAGAAAGGAGCGCCGGAGCTGAGTTCCCACTTGTTGAAGCCATGGCCGGCGGGGAAGTTTCGTCGACGTCGGAACAGGTAATGTCAATCGAGGAATGGAACGGCTCGGCCTCGACTAAGCTCTTCAAGACTGCGACTGTCACTGCTTCTTCTTCTTCTTTCTCAATCGAGAGGTGTTCACCGCGGACTCCGCATTTCCTTCCTGCGTTTTTCTTCTCTCTTTTCGAACTTAAACTCTTTGAAGATTGCCGATTCTGATCGTTTTGCGGTGATGCTTCAGATCCGCTAATAGGTTCGGTCACGTCTGGCGGGGAATCCTTCAAGCCTTTGTGCCTGAGGCAATTAGCTTTCCTCTATTCTTATATGAAACGAAGTAATTAACTTAGCAGAGTTCTGAGTAGAGGTTTGCTGATTGATTACATGGTGTTATTGAGGCAGGGTTTCCCGAGCAGTGTGACGCCGGATTATGTCCACTTCCAAGTCTGGGATTCGTTGCAGGTATGGCTGCTGTTGTACAATAATTGTCAAGATTGATGCTTACTTGGTTTGCTTGCTGAATTCGGTTGATTCTGTTCTTGTAGGGACTTTCTACTTATATAAGAACCATGCTTTCAACACAAGTAAGGTTTTAAAATGCTTCCATAGCTTTTTAGTCCCCGTTTCACTCTGATTATAATTGTTTGTTTGGAAGAAATTTCCCCCTTCTTCTTTCGTTCTACCTTCAATAGGTGTGTTGATTGTTTAAGTCTTATCTCAGGCATTGTTAAGTGCAATTGGGGTCGGTGAGAAATCTGCCACTGTCATTGGTGCCACATTTCAGGTTTGACAGTACACATGCAACTTAATACTCACTCTAGTTTAATGTTCCTGATAGACACAGGATGTGATGTGATTCTTAATGTTGGAACTTCGCAGTGGTTTCTGAGGGACTTAACTGGAATGCTTGGAGGCATACTGTTTACATTTTACCAGGTTTGTTGATCCTCGTGCCACAATGTTTCGTGAATTGTACAACTTAGATCAATAGGGTGCATTAAATTGCACAGATTAGCGTGAGTGCTTGTTGAAGCCTGTCTTGTGCAAGGTTTTTAATTATTCAACTTGTAAGGCAGCGTTCTAGCACTGATTTCACCCTTTGTACTCATTTCCTGTTAACTCGGTAATTATTTGCTTCTCAGGGTTCAAGCCTTGATAGCAATGCCAAAATGTGGCGTTTGGTTGCAGATCTTATGAACGATCTTGGTATATGATGCCCTTCACCTCAGTGTCTCCTCTCTCTTGCTCTCTGAGCTTTCTTATAGACTTTCAAACTTGGCCGATGAACTAGGATTTGACCGTGCAATGGTCATCTTAGTTGTATGCAGCTTGTTGTGGTTCCAGATACATTAATGTCAAATTTCTTACGACGGAAAACTATCATATCACTTGTAGGGATGTTGATGGACCTCGTATCACCATTGTTTCCTTCAGCCTTCATATTTGTAGTTTGCTTGGGGAGCATCTCCAGATCGTTTAGTAAGTTGGTTGTAAATCGCAGCATATAAATTTCCTTTTTCTTTTAGAACATTCAACTTCTATCAATCTTCATCCTTCGACTAAGAGCTTCTCTCTCTTGTGTTTCTTATTAGCTGGTGTTGCCAGTGGCGCAACTAGAGCTGCTTTGACACAGCATTTTGCCCTTCAAAATAATGCTGCTGATATATCGGCAAAGGTAGCCGTGAATGAGACAACTGGGACATGAAAATTCTTTTTTGCTTCTTTTTCCCTCCTATATCTTACTTCACTCTTTTCCTTTATATTGGTAGGAAGGAAGTCAGGAGACAGTGGCAACAATGGTTGGAATGGCATTGGGGATGCTCGTAGCACGATTTACTACAGGATACCCTTTTGCAATTTGGTTCTGTTTCCTGTCACTCACTGTTTTCCATATGTATGGTAAGTTACTTCCGTTTAAAAGTCGCTTGATTTTGTCCCCTCTTTTCCGCTTTTATTTACAGATGGAAAACGTATTTCCATAGCTTTTGTTCTTCCTTTCTCCACCTAGCTTTTAACTTGCAATTTTAATGGGTGGATAATATCCTGTTTTCATTACTTAGGCACAATACCAACTTGGTAGGTAACGAACACGTAACGTTTAACTAACTAAAAGCTTAAATCAGGAATGATGGACTATATCTTTTGTTGTCTTCAGCAAACTACAGGGCTGTCCGTTGCCTTGCATTAAACTCGTTGAATATGGAAAGGAGTTCAATACTTTTGCAGCATTTCATGAAAACTGGCCACGGTAGTACTTCTTAACTAATTTGTCCTCTAGAGTACATTCTCTTAGTGATCATATAATATGCTTGTCAATCACAGTTTTGCTAGACGGAAAACAATTTATTGTTTTCGCTTTTTCTTGAATCTTTTGTCCCGAGGACAAATTTCTGCATTGCTTAGCTCATAGTTTGTAACATGTACAGACCAAATTTGTTATAGAAAGAACATCTGAAGCTGTTGCAGTTCTCTCTCCTGAACAGGTTTCTAGGATGGAACATATTTTACCCTTATGGACCTCTCCTCGGATCTCAAAGGAGGTTAAGCTGCTGCATAACCAAGTCCTATTAGGTGTCAGGGTTTCCTCACTGCATCACAAGGAAGTGTGAGTTCCTGCTTATCATTGCATTTCATTTTCTTTGTCAACTTATCAAGTCCATTGTCATTTCCATAATCTGCGATCATTTAATTTATCCATCTTTTCCGTGTAAAATATTGACATTTTGCTTAACATGCTGAAACAGGATGGATATATTACAATCTTCAGGATCCTATTACAGGAAAGGTTTGATCTTTAACCTAACTGTCCATCAATTGAACTTCAACCAAACAATAAATGTTTGAATAACTTGACTGTAAATCTTCAGCAAAGTACTTGCTACTAGAAATGGATGGGATTATAAGCATCATCGTGCATAAAGATGCCACTGCATCTGATGTCCTCCAGTCATTCATTCATGCGCTTGTTCTGGCAAATTGTATGGAAGGAACAGCCCCTCATGTAGAGAGCCAATCGTGGATGGATAAACAGTATGAGACGTTCATTTTAAAGGTAACCTGTGGAAGCTTTTACTGGTTACCTTTTAAACAATCTTGCTCTTGAATATTTTAAGCCTGCCTCTTGCTCTTTCCTTATAGTTTCTGTGTGGTAATATTACTGTCTCTGCTGTCTTTCTAAGCTTAACCTTTGACCACTCAATCATATAAAGCTCTGATTTTCCCTCCTTCCCTTTAAGTTGCAGCTAAGCTCATCAGGATGGAAAACCGGACGCCTTCTTTGCCCCTCGATCATTTGGACTGCAAACTGGATACATAGTCCTTTAAATGATAAGATTGATTAGGCAGCTACCCTTCATGCATCATTGTTTGCATTGATCGTGAAGCGATGCACCACTAACCTCTACCAGAATTCGGGACCATATCCTTTGGATTGTAGACAATGTTACACCAGAGTAATGTCAACCTCCCTTGTTCCTTCAATTTGCAACTTTTTGTACTTACAGCATCTCCAAATAGAAAGTTAATTTCACAGACTTTTCAATTACCCCTTTCTCTATTATGCCGTTTTGACGAGTACTTTCTTGAGCAAGTCTTTGCCCTTTTTAGGTAGGGGTACATCAGTAAAGTAAAGTACGCTTGCTGACCCCAAACGCTGAGCGTTGACTGGGGGAAATATAGAACCCCATATTACGTTTTGGGGGGTGCTACTGGTTGATTTTCGCAAGGGAGTAAAAGGTAAAAAAGTGCCTCGCGTGGTGCTTAGGGATGGCAATTTTGCCCATACCCATGGGTTTCTTACTATCCAACCCAATTGGGTTGGGTATGAAATCCAAATAGATGGATATGAGTAGAGTTTGATGAGTTTGTACTTTGTACCCATACCCATTTACTTTGAGTTGAGGTTTATATCAAATGGATTTGGGTTTGTACCCATGCCCAAATATAAATTACATTTTGATACCCAAACTTAATAGATATGCATATTTAGTACCTAAATTTAATTTTTTTTGCATATAAGTCCTCAAAATATTGATGGGAAATTACGTTTTGGTACCTAAATTTTTTTGGTCTTACATTTTGGTACCTAAACTTTTCAAGTTTTACAAATAGGTCCAATTTTTGCATGTGTAGTTTAAACACCCTCAAGTAAATGGATATCCATATCCAACCCATACCCATTTAGATTATGGAAGCAATATTCATATCTTACCCAAACCCATCTATAAACCCCAAAATCCATATACACTTCACCCATACCCAAACCATTATCAATGGATCTACTTGGGTTTGGGTATAATTACCCATGGGTGGGTAATTTGCCATCCCTAGTGGTGCTTCAGTTCGACAAAATTCATTCTGTACTAAATAGGGGCGCAGCTAGGGATGGCAATAAAACCCATGGCCGCGGGGATCCGACCGCCTCCGACCCAGTCAACGCGGGGAGTCCCCGCTTTGACCGGGTATGGGGCGGGTATGGGTAAAATCCGCAAAAAGTTTGATGGGTATTGGGCGGGTATGGTTTTGACCTCCCCCGCCCCATACACATACCCACACCCGCCCCACCAAGAGAATTTCTTCACATATAAAAAATATGTGGATTAAATTGTAATCTATCAATGGTGATGAGGATAACTCAAGGAAATAAATAGTAGAAATGTAATTGAGTGACCATTTTAATCAAAATCTAATTCATTTCCCTCAATTCTCCTTTCACTTTCCCCCTTGTCTACAAGATTATGTTAGTTAATTATTACTTAGTAGATGTATAAGAGTTAGAAGATAATAATTTGAAAAATATTATACTCTATATTATGTATTAATGGATGTTTTAGAATCATATACTTTGAACCGTATTAAGAAAATGATCGTGTTTTGTTGACTTCATGAAATAATAGGTTCGTTTAGAGTAATAATTAAAAACTTTCTTGTAAATTTTAGGTATAATAAATTTTGGGTACGGGTATTACCCATGGGTACCCGAAACCCACGAGTATGGGGATGGGTTTGCAAAACATTCCCCGCATGGGTATGGGGCGGGTATGGGTTTGGGTATTTGAAGATGGGGATGATTTAGACAAACCCGCCCCAAACCCGCCCCATTGCCATCCCTAGGCGCAGCCGTTTTCTCGCTGGGCCTTATTAGCAACAAAAGTTTACCATATATTGAATTTGTAAGGAAGTTTTGATTTTCCTACTATAATAGACAACAGTGTGTTACATACTTCTTCCCAAGAAAATTGATTATCCATGCATCAAAGACTGGTCATTTTCGATGGCCAGAAGACGCCATGAGGATTCCGACGGCAGCAATGAACATGGAAAGCATAGCCACAAGCAATATGTATGTTCTTCTGGAAGATTTTCGGTACTCTTTGAAGATCAGTATCCCCCAAAATGTGCTCACAAGTGGTAGTGCCTTGAAAAAAAAAAAAAATCACCCATTTGTCATTGTTACCACCCACAGTTTTCAAAACTAAAAAACAGTCAAAACGACTGAACAAGACTGTTCAAAAGCATTCTCTCACCTGAACAGCATCTGCAGCTGCATAACCAGCAGCTTGGCCTCCCATAAACTGCAACCCATTCCCAAACCCACACAGAAGACCAGCCAGAAAAGCCCAACCTCTGCCGTTCCAGTCGTTGAGATATGCCTTTGGTGTCGATCTAGGAAGGTTCAGAACCGGGCGGTAAAGGAAAATGACATTCAGAATGATGGCCAGAACAAAGCAAGAGATGGAGAACCAGAAGAAAGCAGTGTAGACGACCAGCTTAGGAACTCCTTTCTCCAACGCGTGCCATTGATCGTTGGTTGCCAAGTTGAAAGCTGGTGAGAAGAGAGAGAAGCAGAAGCCGCGCGAAGAATGTTATGGCCAAGCCTATCATCGTGCTCTTCCCAAATACCTGGAAGGTGGTAACAGTAAACAACCATGTAGTCAAATCGTCAATGTACAAGGAAACAACAGAGGAAAAGTTCTTATTGCTTTCTTGGATAACAAGAAACCTTGATGGATCTTCGGTTTTCAAGTTCAATAAGGAAATCTGCTGTTCCAGCTACCGCCTTGTTTCCAGTATTGCTACCATTTCCAACATTTTCACCATTTTTCCGATCAGTTGGTAAGCTACTGAGCTTGGCTTTGTTATCTGCAGAATTCGATGAATGGACAGCTGAACCAAAACAAACAGCAATGAAGAAGCAAGCCACTCCTGGGAATAGAATCTCTGCTCTGTTGATTTTGTTATCCAAGAAATAGTTTAAGGTTGTTCCTGCCAATGTGTAGCCAAAAAAATATTAGCTCCCTTTTCTGTATCATTCTGAAACTCCAAGCTATGGAGTTCATTTCTCTTACCTATAACTACAACAAGGCTAGAAGTGATGACTTCTGTGACAGACAGGCCAACAAAAGCCCAAGCATACTGTGTGCAGAGATTGCCAAGGCTGAGAACTAAACCGCCAGCCATGGCAAAAAGAACTGAAGGCCAATTATCTCCCAACTGGAAATATGAAAAGAGAGAGAATTCAAGAGAGAAACCTGCAAACCCCATGGAAGCAATCTTCAAAACCCACCCAACAACTAACCTGAGAAAGCTGAGGGAAAAAGTTAGGGCTTTCATGAGTGCTGCTCCCAATCTGGCCAAATGTCAAGGCTATAATGACTGCAGCTAGGAGATTGGTTATGGAGTAATCAAGGTAAGTGTGTTGAGGAAGGCGTCCTCGACGTTCGAGTAGAGTCAAGATAGCTGGCCATGTCCCCAAGAAGAAGAGGGACAAGAACATACAAGCTATAGCTCCCCCTTTGCTCTCCACCAGATACATTTTTCTGACACGCTTCCTCTGTTAGCCTGCAACAAGGTCAAAAGAGATTCCCTGGTAGCAAAAGCAAGATGTTCAACGTCAAAGTTGCAAGTCAAACAAGGAATGAAATTCTGTGGCTCAGGCTAAATTTGGTTTCTTTTTGAGAATCTATTGTGGAGCCAAAGATGTTTGTTCGTAAAGATACAAACTTTCTGCAGAAATGTGACACTTATCAACGATGAAGCCGAAGGTATCATCATTCAAAATTCTGTTTCTATGTTTTTCTCTTTAAGCCTAGCTGTCAAACTTGCCTGGGAAAAGAACAATGAAGGAACTGATCAAGAGACTTCCATATTGAAACGTTGGACAAACACATAAAGACAAGAGATGATGAAGATCTTAAGGGAAAAAGAAGTTCATCCCGAGGGAAGGAAATGACACTCATTTCAGTCAGAATACTACTACCAAGCTTGGAACTTGACGAAGAACACAGTTGAGATTTTGTTCCTGAAAGTCGGTTAATATTGTAATGGAAGGCTCAGAAGGAGACAGAATTAATTACCCAGGTCAAACTCTAACGCAGGACTTGAAGATTCCTGAAACAACTTCCACTGATGTAAACTGAGTCTGAGAATTAGTGTTCTGAGGAATCTGAAAAGGGTTGGCTTTCTTTTGCGGTCTGTGTAGTGTTCTTATTTAATCCCCACCAATTGTGGTGGAGCGATGGAATCGATGGAGATCCTTTTCTGCTTACGGATCCATAGTTGTTTTTCTGCACTTGTCGTGTTGTTAAGGCGCCGGTCAAACTTGGCAACTGAGCTAGTTGGTTTACATCGGCTGACATTTTCTTCAGTTATATTAATTATCAAGCAAAAGGATCCTTCTTTCAAACTTTTAGGTTTCATCAGCCAATCTAAGTGTTGGAGAAAAATGAGCAATTGCTGAAGAGAGGAAAAGAGCGAAAGTGTCATTCTTTTGACAAGAATGAGCAACTACTATAAGCAGTAGGAAGAAAAGAAACTGAGTTTGCAGAGATTTGTCCAAAAAACGAAAAGAAAGGAAAGAAAATTAAATGAACTTTCAAGGGACAAATAAACATCTATCTAACGAATGTTTAAAGGAATGAACTTAGTTCTAGGTTGCTGTAACTTCCCCAGATTGTTACTCGGCATAATCTTTCTGTTCTTCACGCTGCTGGGTAGAAATAATCACACTGCCGGCGCCAAGAACAACTCGCAGTCAAGAACCTTCTCTTCATTCAGCAAAGAATTGAGCTTTGATTGATATCAACAACTGCTTCATATCTCTCTATACACAGATAAGAAATCTAAGAAACTAGGTATGCTACTGCGTGTTCTTTCGGTGCCCAGAAGATGCCATGAGAACTGCAACAGCAACAATGAACATACCCAACATTCCAACAAGGAACACATAAGTTCTTCTCGACGATCTGCGATACTCTCCAAACAAAAGTATCCCCCAGAATGTGCTCACTAGTGGGAGAGCCTGAACAGCATCAGCTGCTGCATAACCAGCAGCTTGGCCTCCCATGAACTGGAGGCCATTTCCAAACCCACAGAGAAGTCCTGCCAGTAGGGCCCATCCGCGGCCCTCCCAATCATTGAGGTAAGCCTTGAAGGATGATCTTGGCAGGCCGAGTACAGGGCGGTAAAGGAACCAGACGTTCAGAAAGATGGCGAGCACAAAGCACGATACTGAGAACCAGAAAAATGCAGTGTAGACTACCAACTTAGGAACTCCTTTCTCCAATGCGTGCCATTGATCATTTGTTGCCAAGTTGAAAGCTGGTGAGAAAAGAGAGAAGCATACTCCGGCGAAGAATGTGATTGCTAGTCCTATTAACGTGCCCTTTCCAAAGACCTGATCAAGGAAACATGATTGTTAAAGAGTGTTATAAGATGTGAGAAGGAGCTGGATTGAACAATTTGGAATAGGAAGAAGAACCAGACCTTGATTGCTCTTTTGTTCTCCAGCTGTACAAGGAAATCTGCTGTCCCAAACTCTGCCCGCTTTGTAGGACCATTCCCATTCTCTACGTCTTCTGTTTCTACACTTCCACACAACACACGATTTACAATCCGAAAGGGATAGGAAAACATCCTGTGAAACAAAATAAAAGATAAGCTACTTACTCTTGGCTGAAAACCCTTCTTCAGCTCCAGAATTTCCCCTTCTCCTGGAAACATACAAAAATGGTAAGTTTTCTGGCAATGATATTCAAATCTCACAACTCCATGCTCAAAAGTGCTAAAAGTGGGTCATTTTACTCAGTCACAAGCTTGGAATTGCTCGAGAGGCTTTCTAGCTTAGCTCGATTGTCAGCAGCATTGGATGAATGGACTAAAGAACCGAGGCAGACTGCAATAAGGAAGCAACCAACTCCAGGGAACAAAATCTCTGCCCTGTTAATCCTACCATCCAAGAAGTAATTAACAGTAGTACCTGCAGTGAACAAAAGATCACTAAAAATAAACCATTCATTCACCAAATTTCAATCCCAAAATTACCACATTACTACAACCTTAAACCACTCAACAACCCAACCAAACACAGAATTGGCGAAAATAGAACACGAACCTATCACAACTGTGATGCTAGCAGTGATCACTTCAGTGACCGATAAACCGACAAACGCCCAAGCATACTGAGTCGAAAGATTCCCCAAGCTGAGCACAACCCCACCCGCCATTGCAAACAGAACAGAAGGCCAGTTCTCCTGTAATCATATAAAAAGTTCACATCTTTAGCCTATCCTAACTTAAGACAAAGCAATCCAATTGAGCTTAGAATATCTTCTTTTACTTACACCAAGCTGGGAGAGCTGGGGAATGAAATTAGGGGAGTCATACGAGCTCTTTCCAATCTCACCGAATGTGAAAGCTATGATGATGGCTGCTAACAGATTGGTGATGGAGTAATCGAGATAGGTGTGTTGAGGGAGACGGCCCCTTCTCTCTAGCAGGGTTAAGACAGCAGGCCAAGTGCCTAAGAAGAGCAATGCCAGCAGCATACATAATATGGCTCCTCCTTTGCTTTCCACTAAATACATTCTCAACCCACTTGAGAGGATTCTCTGTGATATCAGTGAAGGGAGTCCTGAAAAATCCTGCAGATGGGAACGAAAATCGAAATATTAACCATCATGAAAAAAACCCCAGCTTAGGGAACTACCCAAAAGATGAATCTGAAAGTTGAAATCATGGTCCAAGAGAAAAAAGGAATCAGAAGTGGGAAAGAAAGGCTAGTCAAAACCAGAGACTGAATTCTGACCCCAAAAAAAAAAAAAAAAAAAAAACCCCAGTTGTGTTTTTTGTCTGGTTTTACCATGGGATTCAATTCAACGAAAATGGTTCGCGGGAAAACAGGAAGGTGGAACAATGGTGGGGCGTAGTCAAAGTGGGAAAGAAAGCTCTCACCGATTTTAAGGGAGAGAGGGATCCTCACAGTAGGTCAGCAACCATGGAAACAGGACAAACCCGTCGAAATCAGTGAATAGGGAGAAGAACTCTGTATATTTGGGACTGTTTCGCTCAGAAAGGTTGTTACTTTGGGAGGAATCTCAGGTATCCTGGAACTTTGAATCTCTCTTTTATTTATGAGGCCCGCCAAATAAGAAAGTGACAGAGAGAGCAATTATTTAGCAAATGAAGCGTCGAAAGCTTCTTGTTTATCCAAACAGGGGAAGGGCAGTTGCAGAGGAAAAAGCACAGAGAAGAAGAAGAAGATGAAAGTTGGAGAGGGGAATTTGTAGTGGGAGGAAGAGAATCTTGATTGTTTTGACGGTTTTGAGCATCGATGAACGGAAGGGGAATCTACGAGGATTTCCAGCTAAGGTTCGGGATCTCGCTGTTCATGGAAGTGAACTGAACACGTTTACGGTGATTGAGGTGGCTGAATCTTGATAAGTCAACTTGGATACAGTTGTGCAGAATAATGTATTTTATTTGATTGGTAGGCATCAATTTTGCTAGAATAATATAGTTTATTCTATTAGGTTTTTCTTAATAGCCAATTTCATGCATTCATTTCGGGCAAGATAGCTACAGCAAGGGGATATGGTATGGAAGAATCATAAATGAATCGGGTGGGAGTAAATTAAGTTGACCCTTGCGGGTAGGACTGTTAGTGATTGAGTTTTGTTTTATTTAGGTTCAGTCGTTAATAACGAGTTTGAGCTCGAGTTTGATTATCTATAAACGAGTTGAATCTAGTCGAGATTGAACGAACTCATTTACCTAGTGGTGGAGCCAGAAATATGAATGAAGGGTGGACTAAGTGGTAACGTGGGGATGAAAACATCAATCACACTGGGTTCAAATCTTGGGGCCAACAACCAACAAAAAAAAACTTGAATTGTGATGATTTGGGGGGGCTAAGGCTTTACCTAGTATTCTATTTCTTAAATTTGTTACGAATTTAACATGTAATTTTACCTTATTACAAATTTGAGGGGGCTATAGCCTCTCCTGCTTCTACCTAGCTCATCTTACCTTATTACAAATTTGAGGGGGCTATAGCCTCTCCTGCTTCTACCTAGCTCATCCACTGCATTTACTAAAACCTGTTTGACTCATCATTAAGATCAAAAGTTCTCCTCGACCTCAACTCTAATTTATAATGAGACACACAATTTAATAAACCTATGGGTTATCAACAAGCCAATTCATATGCTATATATATCGATTTTCTCATAAGTCTGCAGTCAAGTTGACTTACCAATCACAATGTTGAGACGTCTAATGACATCAAAACAAGTGAGTTCCCGAGATAAGCTCAACAAACCAGCTAGTTGATCTAGCTCACGAGCTGAACAAGTCTTATCTCAAGCTCGGGTCATTAATAAACGAGTTTTAGCATTTTCTTAATCAAATGAGATTTTATCGAATCGAACGTCAGTCGTTCATGAGCGACTTGGTTCATTAACAGCCCTATGGGCAACTCAATCAGCACTCTTGTCGATGTGGTGGTTGATGAAGATGACATCAATCTAATCACTATCATGGTTAACAAGTCAGATCGCTTCTCAAAGTCTCAACTAGCATATTTGCAATTAGAGGGAATATTTTTTGGAGTGTGATCAATTATCGTCTAACGACATACTTCCAAGCGAGCATGAGTCTTAGTCTCGATCGTGGAAAAACAAATGACCATGCCCTTCTTTTTCATCGCATATTTGTCCAAAGTAATTAGTACTAACTATCGCGAAAGCTACCTCATGAGAGTCATTGTCAAATTATCCATCATAGTGAGGGGGAAATTTTGTGGCGATTGTTGGATGGTGAATGAGATTGCAAAGGATTGTCCTTTGGCTGATTCATGGAGGTGTCCTTAGAGCTATGATACAACGATCAAACATAAAAGTGTATGTTTGTCATTAATTTCTAAGCTCTTCTCGCCTAAGCGTCAATTGGCCCAATCTATATGCGAGAAACTGCTATTGCCTCAGCCGCGGAGTGGTCATTGCAGACAAGTTTCTAATTCCATTCCCTAGTACCTTCATTTTATCAATTTCGAACTTTTGAGGAAGGAACATATGGGTGGCAAAGTTTATGTCATTCAGGAGAAGGAAGATAATGATGCTTATGAAACCATGTACCCTTGCGTGAGCCAACATCCTAAATGGTCTATTATCTAGGGTTTAGTGTGACTCACAAAGACTTGCACGATTCCATGAGGGTGCACTCCCCTTGCAAGCATGACGAAAATACAAGTCTAGGAGTTACATCTGCAAAAAAAAAAAAAAAAATGTATACACAATACTAGATATTTTTCGTGGCAAATGGATGAGGAAACCAAAACGTGAGGTAATTTGTTGTTGCGGCTCCGTTGGAGTATTCTTGATGAAGAAGGAAAAGGACTTGCCCATGTGAAATTCTTGCTCTATGAAGAAGGAAAAGAGATTGTAAATGAAAAGAAAAGGGAATGGTAGAAGGGATCACCTTGTCAAAGATCTCTCGAATGAGTAAGAATATGTGTGGCCCTCCATTCAGGAGTAGGGGTGGGCATTGGTGCGGTCCAAACCGCTCCGCCCGCTCCAAATCGCTTGTGCCAAACCGCACCGTTAAGATTGCGGTTTCATTTGCGGTTTAATCATTAAGCAGTTCGTGGTTTTGCGGTACGAGCCGACCGAAACCGCGCGGTTGCGGTTCAAAACCGCAAACCACTAAATCCCCTCAAATCACCGACTCTTCTCTCCTTGACTCCCTCCCTCTCTTTACCTTCGCCTCCATCCACCGCCGCTCAGCCTCAGCTCCGCCTCCTCCCTCTATGCTGCCACGCCTTCCACTCCGCCTGCATCGACACCTGGCTCCTCTCCAACCAGACCTGCCCTCTCTGCCGCTCCCCGCTTCACGCCTCCGATTCTGACATCCTCAACCAGACCATTTTTTTTGCTTGTAGGGTTGTAATGAATCTGTGAAAAAGAAGATACTATTATCAGCAAAATGAAATCAAAAAGTATCTAGTGAGGTGAGTTTCTTACTTTTCCCTTTGCTTACTTAGCTTTGCTGTACCGAGCTGTGCTCTGTTCTGCTAGCTGTTTGCTGCTCTTACTTCCCCCTTTAGTGGTGGTGGTGGAAAAGGGATGCCATTATTATTAAACTTGTGGTGGTTATTGGCATACATTAATAATAGGTTGTTGGTTTCCTGATCATGGCTGCTCATCCTCTTTGTGGATTCCTCTTCTTCTTCTGTTGACAAACCACTTCTACTGCACAAACCCAAGTTCAGTGTTTTGATATAATATGCCAATAACTACCACCAGTTTTATAATAATTATTGTTGTTGCTGCTGATACTGTGTTGTTATATGCTCAATTAACTTCCCAGCAATAATTATGTCAGGTTCTCATTTACTTTATTATTGTTTAGGTTGAATATGATGATGTTGCAATGGAGTCCTTAAGTGGGGAAGATATGGAAGTCGAAGTGGATGCAAGTACAAGTAGTGTGGGTGCTGCTGATATTGGTTCAACTGCAACTCAAATTAAGTCACCGAAGGCAAAAGGCAGGAAGCTTACATCAAAAGTATGGGTTCAATTCAAGAGGCATGTGACAAAGGAAAGATTCAAGGCATCATGTATCAAATGCGGGAAGACTTATGAATCTAAATCGCGTAGAAATGGAACAAGTGCGCTTCTCAGACATATGGAAAAACCATGCGGTGATAAAAAAGGTACTGCTCAACAACTGTTGAATACAATTAGAGTTGGATTAGGAGAGAGTGATGAAGTAGTGTTAGGGAGCTGGAAGTTTGACCAAGCCGCTATAAGGAAAGGATTGGCTTATATGATTCTTGTGGATGAGTTACCTTTTAGGTTTGTTGAATACTTGGGTTTCAAATATTTTATGTCACTTACTTGTCCTAGATTCTGCATACCTTCTAGAAGGACTGTGACTAGGGATTGTTGGGAATTTTATCTTGAGTTGAAGCAAAAGTTAAAGAATATCTTTAGCAACTGTGAAGGTAGAGTTTGCTTGACTACAGATTCATGGACTTCCAACAAGCAATTGAATTTCATGTGTGTGACAGCCCATTTTATTGATAGAAACTGGATATTAAGAAAAAGGATAATTGGTTTTCGCCAAATATTCAGTCATAAGGGGGTGGATATTGCAAGTGCAGTTATGTCTTGTTTGGATGAATGGGGGATAGATAAGATTTTCACAATCACGGTTGACAATGCCAGCTCGAATGACACTGCAATAGAAGAATTGAAAAGTATTTTTGATGATAGAAAGATTAGCATATGTGGTGGAAAATTCCTTCACGTCAGGTGTGTTGCCCATATAATGAACCTTGTTGTGATGGATGGATTGTCTGAGATATCTGTAGCTATCAAGAGAATCAGGGAGGCTGTGAGATTTATTAGGCAATCACCTGCTAGAATTCAAAAGTTCAATAATTTTGTTGCTCTTGATAATACAAGCAAAAGTGGCTTGTGTCTTGATGTTCCAACGAGGTGGAACTCGACCTTTTTGATGTTGCAATCTGCTGTGAAGTATGAGCATGCTTTTGATCTTTATCGATTGTCAGATAAGCAGTTTAAAAATGATCTTGAAGCTAAGAGTGGAATACCTGATATACATGATTGGGAGAGTGCCAGAAGAATGATGAAATTCTTGGAGCAGTTTTATCACTTTACTTTAAAAGTTTCTGGTTCACAATACATAACCTCCAACTTGTTTCTTCCTGAAGTTGGGAATTTGTACAATTTGTTGAAGAGTTGGATGGTTGTAAACAATGAGGATTACCAATTAAGCTTCATGGCAACAAAGATGAAACAGAAATATGAGAAGTATTGGGGAGATGTTGACAAGATGAACAAGTTGTTGTACATAGCTGCCGTTTTAGATCCACGGCGAAAGTTGCGCTTTATTGGTTTCGCTCTCAAGTGGATGTATGATGATGAGAAATCGGCTAGTGATTTGACAAGTGATGTCGAGGAGGCTACTTATGAGTTGTATGCTCATTATGAGAATCAAGTAGGTGAAGCTTCATCCTCCTCTCAAACAGAACTAGATGAAGATGGTGGAAACGTGGATCTAATTGCAGAGTATATGAAGCAATTGCAAAAAGAAAGAGGTGTAGTCAACAAAACTGAGTTGGATAGGTATTTGAACGAGGAAGGTGAAAGATCAATGGATCCCAAATTTGATGTGCTATGCTGGTGGAAAGTAAACAGCCACAGGTTTCCAACTTTGTCTCGGATGGCAAGGGATGTATTGGCTATCCCTATTTCTACAGTTTCCTCTGAAGCGGCTTTTAGCACTGGAGGGAGAGTACTGAATGATTTTAGGAGTTCTTTGACTCCTAAGATTGTGGAGGCCCTTATTTGTACTCAGGATTGGCTCCGAGCAGACTCTAGTCCATGTGTAGTTGAAGAAGATTCAGAGGAGATCGACAATATTGATGAAGGTAAGCTTTCTTAGAATAAAAAAGCTATTAGTTTTGTTTAATGCTCAAGTTGATGGTGACATTTTATGAATTTCAGAGTTGAGCATGGTGTTGAAGGCTATTAACATCTCTGATGTTCCACTTCCTTTTACCAATACCCCTTGTACGAGTCCTATTATACAGGCAAACGCAAACACGTGAGGTAATTGATCGTGATCTGAATACCAATGTAGCGGTTGGATTTAGTATAATGAATTAAAGCTATCACTGTATTATCATTTTTGCATGATGATTGAGAGTTGTATGCTCTGAATACCAATGCTTGGCCTTTTAAAAGTACTAGTTAACTTTAGATAATATTATGTGATGGCTTGAACATTGGTATACTGGTGGTATACCTCTGGATGATAAATTCTAGTGCAGCTACTTTCTTACCATTTTGATTTCTACTCAGCATCCTTTTGAGTTTAATGTTCTACTGGTCGGCTATGTGTGGTACATGCATACTGTTTTAGTAAAAAGACTGGGTAAAGCTCTGCTTTGTGATTCTCATCATTTTCCTTTAATGGGGTTGTAAGTTTAATTTTCAATTTCTGCAGGTGCAGGGGGTTATTTTTGCGGCCTGAGTTGAGGAGAAAAAGAAGAAGTTGCAGTCTTTTTTTTTGTTTTTTGGAACTTAGTTAACTGAGAGAACTGAAGGTCCACTTTTGTTTTTTTGTCTTTTTGGTTTTTTGTTTGTGGAGTGCATAAACCAAAGTAATATCTGTAAGCTGGAATGGGCCAGAGAGGAAAGGAGAGGAAGAAGGTCTTGTCTTGGCTGAGGTGACAGATGGGCTCCATGGTTGTTTGGGTTTCTACTTTCTAGTGGGGACCTGTTCTTATATTGGCCAGTACTTTTTTTTTGGCGTGAATTGTTGCTTACTAGTTGGTGATGGCGATGGCCTGTTCTTATAGATGCTGTGTTTTTTGCGGTTTTATTTGCGGTTGCGGTCCAAACCGCACCAAGTCGCTAACTAATGCGGATTGGTTGGACTGTACCAATTAACTTGCGGTCTTATTTGCGGTGCGGTCCAATTACTTTGCGGTGCGATGCGGTTTTTATCAACACGGTGCGGTGCGGTGCGGGTCGCACCAATGCCCACCCCTATTCAGGAGAGTCGTGAATCGGAACATTGGAAACATTCAATGACCCCACTCACCCATGTTTGGTTGAAGTGTCTTACACTATGTTTGGCAACAAGGGGGGTGCAAGTTCGAGGGGGGTACAAGTTGAGGGGTAAATTGTTGGGGGGTGCAACTTGGTGGAGGGTGTAAGTGGAGGGGTAAATTGTTGTTTGGATGAAAAAGTAGGGGGGTGCAAATAGAGTAAAAAGTAAGTAATTATATTATTATAAAATAGATTTATCAATTTATAAAATATTATCACAAAATAATAACATGAAAATTCAATATATAATAATAAAAATAATAAATAAAAATAATTTTAATAAAAATAATTATTATATAATAATGCTCAAATATAATTATTTATAACAACAATAATAATCATTGGTCGAGCAACCTCGAAACTCGAAATCCAACTCGTAACTGGTCATCCTAAGGGGGTTCTCGTGCCTAACTTTAAATTGAATATGGTCAAACTTAGTCAAACACGTTCGAATCTGTAAGTTTTAACTACTTATTAAAGTAAATCGAGTTAACTAAACTGTTCCTCTCTATCTTTTCAACAAATGCTTCTTATCTCTAATTTTCAATGCAAATTCGGGTCAACTAAGAGATATCGATTTGACGAGGCGAACATTGACAAACTTGCTCTCTTAGTCAAACGGTCAACCCCAAACAACTTCTACACTAATATAGATATAAGAAAAAATTAATAATATTAATTATTATGTAATTATAATCTAATTAAAAATTCATAATTCCACTCCTCCTCCTTCCCCCTCCCTTCCTTCCTTTCCTTGCACCCCAATTTGGGGGGTAAGCCGAAACAGTGAATTTACGCTCACGTTTTGCACCCCCCTACTGTTACAAAATAACCAAACGGGGGTAAACACCTTGGAACTTGTGTTTACCCCTCCAAACTTGCACCCCTACCATTTGCACCCCTTCCCAAACATAGTGTTAAGGTTTCACAATCCACCGTATTGTAAGCCTTCCCCATTAGGGGTGGGTATCAGGTCAGTTTCGTCGAACCTGAACCAATGATTCACTTGTAGTCTTCTCAACCGATCTCGATCCAATCATGAGCTTGGTTTGACCCTTGCCAAAATGGTTATGTAGGATTTGACTTGTGCAAAATCGAACTCCCGACCACTCTGCTATATTGTTTTGTGCCTCCACATATACCGTAATGGCGTAATCTCTCCTCTCTGGGCCTCTGCCCTCTAGATTTCGGATATGCTGCTATTGTTCGCCACTCGCCAATTTCTTAAGATAAATCACGTAAGCTGTGATGTGAATGAGAATTGAGATGGGAACATGAAACCGACCGAAAAATAAATTGGTTGTAACCAAAATCAACTTGTGATTTCGTTTGGTTTGGGTCATCCAATTGACACCCAATAAATTAATTGCTCGGCGAGTCGTACGATTGCATTTGGAGTTCATTAGTTGGGAATGTACATGGGCGTTGGGTCGTGTTTGGGCCGGCACGGCACTGGCACGCTTCGAGCCCATTTATTTCATGCCGTGCTTGGCACGGCTCGTCAGTTTTTGTGTCGTGCCATGCAAGCCTATTTGTTAACTTTGCTAGGCCCGGCCGGGGCACGGTTCGAATCGTGTCGTGCCTATTCGTGCTCGTGCCATGCTTGTATTCGTGTTTAATGAAAAGGACGAAAACAAAAGAGAGAATGAAAAAGAAGGTAAAAATTGGACGGGGGAAGATAGTATTAACCGATAATGTTTGAGAAAAGTAACAAATAAGGGGGAAAAGAAAATTGGAAGTACAGCGAGTGTGATTTGGCTTTGTTTAATTCTTTGTCCATTTTTACTTATGTTAGTAATTATGTATATATCTTTATAACACTTCTAACAGCAACAAATAATTATTTTTCTACTTGTGTTTTGTAATATTTGAACCTATAATCTTTTTATATTTATTTTCTATCAAATAAATATTATTTTTCGTGCCATATCTGTTCTTATACTCAATAAAGTCTCGAAAATATTAGGTCTGACACGGCCCACTTATATACCGTGCATGTGCCCATGAAATTTAGGCCCGACATGGCCCATAAATTATTTGTGCTCGTGCCGGGCTAGCCCATTTATTTCATGCTCGTGTCGTGCTCTAACCGTGCTGTGCCGTGCTAGCCCGTGGGCGGCATGATCCGGTGCCCACGTACAGTTGGGAAACAGGGAATGTCGAGTTGACATTTGATTTTCTAATTGAGTTAATTGCATGGTTGGTCACTGAGATTACAAAGAACGTTCATGTTTGGTCACTCGAAATATTTAAATCCATTGGTGGTACTTCACTTTACTTAAACCATTCACGTTTGGTCACTCTCCGTTAGTCGTCGTCCATCTCCGTCAACGACGTCCGTTAAGTGATGACGTGGCAGACAGAATTATCTAATCAGCCCTATTTAACCCAAAATAAGGTGACCCGACCCGTCACGTCACTGAGACCTACCACAGGGGCGGAGCTATGTAGGCTCTCGGGGGGCTCCGGCCCCCCCGAGAATTTCGAAACTTACGTATAAAGTCCTAGGAACTTTCGAGAATTACGTATAAAATCAACGATAAATATATTTAAAATCCGAGTGACACATTATTAACATAATCTTCTTGTAGTCTAGCGGATTTGTAGTTGAATATTAGCCAAAAGGTACCAAGTTCGAGCCTGGTAGGCAGCAGCTTTTTGATTATTTTAACTTTTTATTTATTTTATTTTCAGTTTAATTCTTCAAGTTTCCTGCTTGGTCTTATAACTCCGATGATTTCAAATAACGTTAGTCAAGTTATTCAACTTTTACATTAATATTTCATGGATGTGTTTTGGATATGTAATTAAATAATAATTCATATAAACACTAATATAATCATAAATTCATATGCAAGGTATAATAATATTGAAAAAATTACATGGTAAAGTGCATGATAATTTTTTCATAGTATAATCATTTATTTTGAACATAGCTACTAGAATACTTTAAATTAATTCTATTTTGATTATTTTAACTAATGCTATGTCGTTATAAATTTTTTTTATATATTTTTGCGGTTATGTACTAACTAACTTCGGCCCCCCCAAACTTTAATTCCTAGCTCCGCCCCTGACCTACCATATCAGCTGGACCAACCCAACTCTCCAACCAGACCCGACCCTTAAACTAAACTACCACACAAATTAAATCCCTAATTCCTAAAACAGATCTCCACCTTCCCCATTCTCAATCGTGCGCCGCTGTTGCTGAACCATCCCCTCCTCACAACACTCCTTCTCCTCATAGCCGCCACCTTCGTTGCAAAGTCCCATCATAATTACATACATATCTCCAGCCCCCCAATCACCCAAACAACACCGTCTGCCCTGTTATGTTTTGATTTATTAATCTCCCCAGCCAGTGAACGACTTCCCAATGTAAGCAATAGCCTGGCATAAAACCAGCAAGACCCGGTGCCGGTTCCCCAAGGGCCGCCACATCGACTTGGAGAAGACAGCCTGGCAGTCGGTGGCATTCCGCGCGGCCTCCGCCGACAGGTTGGTGAGCCCGAAGTAGATCTCGGAGTTTAAGTCATTGTAGGTGATCTCGAGGCGAGAGATGGTGACCTCTTAGTATGATCTACACCGCTCCAGCCGCTTCCGGTCGTCGGCGTACAACGCCTCCACGCACAAGGCATAGTCTGCGGTTGACTTGCAGATGCACTGGACCAACGGCGTCGGAGCTGGGGACTTTGCAACGACGGCGACGGTTGTGAGGAGGAGAAGGAGTGTTGTGAGGAGGGGATGGTTCAGCGACAGCGAGGAAGAAAGTCGGGAGGAAGGAAGGCGGCGCACGATTAAGAATGCGGAAGGTGGAGATCTGTTTTAGAAATTAGGGATTTATTTTGTGTGGGTAGTTTAGTTTAAGGATCGGATCTGGTCTGGTTAGAGGATTGGGTTGGTCGATATGACATGGCAGGTCGGGCCACCCTATTTTTGGGTTAATAGAGCTAATTAAATGATTCCATCTGCCACGTCATTACTTGAAGGAATGGGTCACCCTATTTTTTGGTTAAATAGAGCTAATTAGATGATTTCATCTGCCACATCATCACTTGGAGGGAATGGGTCACCCTATTTTTTGGTTAAATAGAGCTAATTAGATGATTTCATCTGCCACATCATCACTTGGAGGAACGTCTCGTGACCAAACACGAATGGTTCAAGTACAATGAAGTACCACCAATAGAGTTAACTATTTCAAGTGACCAAATATAAACATTTTTTTTTAATTTCAGTGAACAACCATGCAATGAACCCGTTTCTAATTAGTTCGTCAATATTTTATTGCTTCGTAACAAAAAATAGAGGAATGGGCCAAATAAGAAATAACCCTCGACAACCTACATTGAGCAAATCAATTCTGTGAGGGTTGCACAAAAGGGTACACACCCGTAATCTCAATCTGAACAATCGAAATTAAGTAGTGCACTAGGCTCCAATAAAAACGTTACCAAACCCACAAAAGATCAAGCACCACCAAGCAACAAAATCTATGGTCCATAACAGCACAAAATGTCTCCCAACAAAAATTTTCTGAATTAACAATACTAGTAATCTTGATCCCTCGTAAGATGGGAGAACATAAAGGGTCACAAAACTACAACTTCAACCTTACAAAAGTGACCAAAACAAGAACACAAGCAAACCACCTCTTCAGAAGATCCTCACTGGCTTTCCCATGGTAGTCTTCAAGTTCAGAACCTTAACCTGAAAATTTTCCAAAACCAAAAACTTCAGTCGGACGAAAGAACAGAGTTCCGGAAAGAAAAGTAACCAACAATAGACATTGAAAAGAAGAAACCCAGTTTTAGACTCACATTCTGCCAGTTCTTCTTGAGCAGGGAGACCAAGAAATTGACACTCATCTGAACATTTTGGAAGATCTGCTTCTCGTCCATGCCGAGGTTTCCAACTGCGACACCCATGCACAGAACCTTCTTCAACTGGAACTTAACAGTTGCCTTGATCTCATTGACCTTAGCCTCCAAGGACTCTTGGTGACTGACAAGAGTAGGGAACTTTCCTGCATATCCGGGAAGCAATCAAGTTGAGGCATGTTCAGGACCCAGCAGAAACATAACGCAACGGCATAAATGAATGAGCAAAATCATTATTGAATAACTTGCCGGCCTTGTTGAGACCAGGCCCCAGAAGACGGGGGATCTGCTTGATGACAGATTCAGAAGCCAAAAATGCATGGTAGGACTTGGCGAGCTTCTTAACCAACTTCTTGTTTTTGTTCAGCTTCTTCAAGCTCTCAACATCCATGGACTCCAGACTCAATTTGTTGGCCTGGTGAAAGAGGACGGCAGTAATAATTCAGGGTTTGGATCTCGATTAAAAGAGACAGTGTGGAATACAAGATAAGATCACATCTCGCACCATGAGAAACAAGAGACCGAGCAATTAATGAGAAAAGGGGGCAGTAGATAAACAAACGGTTAAGTTTTCTCATGTCTCACAAAGACATTTACTCAACCAAACAGACATACAATTCAACTCCAGTACAACTTAACCATCAAAGAGAGATCGCAATTACCTCTTCGACATGCTGGGCATCTCCAAGCATGCAGACCTTCATCTTAGGACGAGGAATGTGAGGTAACTTGACCGACCCACTGAAACGCTTATCCTTTTGGGGATCATAGTTCTTCAGCCCAATCTGCAGCTCAACAGTCTCAGTAAACTTGCGTGGCTTCTCTTCAGCTTTAGTCCTAATGGTGCTGATGGCCTCTCTCAGAGCCTCACTCTGAAGCTTACTGAAGTGCAAAAAAAAAGAAGATAAATTTCAAACATGGATCATGAATAAATAGCTGATGAACACTGACACCACTCAAACTGCGTTAAAGCATGGAAACCATAACAGAATGGCATCTCATATGTAGAAGTACAAACATCAGAACAACCCAGTTCCAATTTTCAACTTAAAGCAGTAATAAGATTCATCCTCCAAACACATATAAAACAGAGCTGAAGAAGCATGCAAACCATATGGAATCGCAACCATATTGCGAATCACGGAAAAATTAACGGGAGAGAAAAGGAGCCATATGAATCGTACCTCATGGTTTCAAGCAGAGAAAAGGAAAAACCCTACCTGCGAACAAAATCATCCAGACAAAAGTCAAAACCAGAGCTCGAAGACAGATCTACTATTTCCCAAACAATTAAACAGGCTGCGTATCAAGAGTCACCCGTCGCCTAAACAACAATGAAAGCTTGAGCAAGGGAAGAAGCGACCGAAATGCACGAGAGAGGGAGCGAGGACGTACCAGTAAAGAGAAGCGAGAGAGACGGCAACTCTGGCACTCGCAGACGGAGAAAGAAAGGGCAGGAGCGGCGTTTGAGATAAAAATATAAACGCGCCTCCTTCTAAAACCCTAGTAGGTTTCTGGAGGTGGATCTCGGCCTGGGCTGGGGGTACTTCTCTGTGTAATGGGCTGAAATTGCCCATCTGTTTATTTGAGGCCCGCATGCATAGGTACTTGTTTGTTTAATTGGGCTATAATCTATTAATCTTGTTTGTTTCGAGACCTACATGGCTTCAATTTTGTCCTTCTTGGTAGACATATGTGGAACTTGCTCATTTGACCGAGTATTATCCTAACTATGAGATTTTGGAGGTGGTGGAAGGGGTAACCCAAACTATATTTGGCAAAGCTTGCAGCAAAAGTCTTTGGCGAAGGATTGTGTAAGATGGAGAATTGGGGATGGGGAATGTGTGACAATCCGTTAGGACAAATGGATCCAAGAGGCCCCTGATTACAAATTTGAATCAACAGTGACAAGTTCATAATGATTAATCAAGGTGTATTCTTTGATAGATCAACTTACTCGGATTTTGAAAAGTAACCGAATACAAACGCATTTTCAACCGAGGGATATGAGACTGAATTTATCAAATCCATCCACATGTTTGTCCTTAATCAAATGCTTGAATATAAGGAAAGAAAAAAATATAGAATCTGCCATGTTATATTAGGGTACTATTTCCTTGGTAAGAGAATGAAGGAAGGACTGAGATATTGGAGAAGAGGTGTATTCTTGTGGACAATAAAATATTGTGGCACCTTAGACTACCACCCAATGTAAGGGTATTTATCTGGATATGGGGCAACAATATCATTCTTACAAAAGCATACATGGGTTGAAGATCTCGACGGCTTATGATGGATGCGCTTCTTGTGGACTCAAAGAAATGGATGATTCAATTACGGGGGACTATGATTGGGCAAGCATAGGAAGGAGACCATGTTTGATAAGAAGGATTTTTGGAATGGGGAAAGGAAAGAGTCGTGAATAAATGATTATGTTAAGCTCTAGATAAGGAGACAGATTATGAATTATGCTCACTATGCTTCTTATGGATAGTGGCGGATCCAGAAATTACATTAAAGGTATTCAATAATAAAATAAAATCATCAAGGGTTGTCAAATAGTCTTGAGATAGAATACTACCATCATTAAAATAAAAATTTACAAAAACAATTTCTCACAAGGTTTGTCAATTGACAACCTAGGTCCGCCCCTGCTTATGGAAATAATAATTTAACCATCTATTAGACAACTCTAAACTTGAAGAGTCAAATCACAAGCTTACCTGGATGAACTCCTTAGAGGATCAAGGCCTTGAGATACCAATCCTGGTGCAACCTCGGGATTACAGGAGAGAAGCCCATAACAGAGTGTTTAAAGTGAACATTGGCGTGAATGTGTTCTCCTCTTGATTTACGAGGATGGGTATGGTGATTCGAGATGGAAGTGGACACCAGAGATTGCATAAGGAAAGGTTTTCCTCTAGGCCATGCAGGTGACGAGAAGTCATGATTCAATCCCATGCTTCTGGAATTGGACTATCAAATTCTCGTATCTTGTTAATAAGTTTAATCAAGAAGAATCATCTCTTCTTGAGATCGATCATGTGTACTAACAAAATCATATTGGAGGCTGGAGGGATGGAGGAAGTGGAGTGAAGGTTTTAGAGAGAAGGAGAAATGAATCGGCTCATTGATGGTCATGGTGAACTATAATCGGGAGGCAACTGAAAGTGTATTGTATTCGGACATTAGGAGTGGGGCGATGATTCATTCCACATGTGGATCTAATCTAAAACGAATTACATATGATTAATTCAATCTTTAACTTTTACATCCTTGATTTTTCTTAATATAAAAAGAAAAAATGTCAAATTAAAATTTAGATGGATCAAATCAAACAAAATAAGTTTTTTTACGAGTCTTTTTCCTCTTTACTATTAGTCCAGTTCATTCTTGATGTCGTCTGATATGAGGCCGAATCATATCATACTAACCTCTAAGGCCACATCCTCGTATGGGAGATAGGTGAGCGGGTTCATTCTTCTTTGTATGCGAGAATCCCATACTAGTTCTGGCAATTTGCTTGCCTCTTCATGAATCTTAGAACAATTCAATCTCCATAAGAAAATGACCATCTTGATTCAACTTAGCAAGTATAGTTTTTGTTGTCCATCCCGATCACTACTCGTCAACAATGAATGGTGTGGCTTTTATTTTAGCCCTTCAACGCTCAAGTTAGATGGGTGCCTAACATCCCGACACCAAACATAAACAAGGGGTGTTTCGCCCTATATACAAGCCCTTCAAGCTCAAGCTAGATGGTCATTGAAGCAAAGAGATAGGGTAACCACAACCAGGGGCTAAAAAGCAGAGTATTAAAGTCTATTATAGCAATTTGGCTTTCTCTAGAACTGAAACAACTGCTACTCTTTGACGGTGTGTTGTACGTCGGGGTGTGCAACAATTTGGTTCATACAAGATCAAATCAACGTTTGAACCAAACCATATCAAACCGAATATAATTTCTTCTTCTTCTCAAACTGTACAAATTATTTAGCTGCTACTTGGATGAATGGAAAAGGCCACTGAGCCGCATTTCCCAAAACCCTAGCAGGTTCTGTCCTCTGCAAAGTGCAAATTGTTCTTCCTGCAAAGAATCGTCAGGATTCTTAGAAACGTCTCGCCCGTGCAGCACACTGCAAGTGGGCGTTGTTTCATGTTTGAAGATGATTGACTAGAGGTAAAAGGTTATTTTCGCCTTTTACCCTGTGAGTTGTGGCCAGCTTCATTGGAGAAAATGGGAGAGATCCAGAAGAAGAAAGGAGAGATGGATACAGAGCTTTCAACGTTTTGTTTTCAGCGACTTTTGTCACGCCGCATGAGACAAGTGAGATGGATCTCGTTAATTTCGTACAGCCTTTCTTGCTGGCATTGCATGGAGCTTCAACACAATTTCACTTCATCTACTTTGCAACTTCAGTGAACAACAAGAACCATGTACAAAACAATGACAACTCAGACCAACTACAAACTTCTGCAAATTATCTTCAACCAATTCCGTAGTACCAAGATGTCAGATTTGCTACGTCCGTCACAACTCACATGTCGGTACCTTGTCCAAGTTAACCTCTTTAGAGTGACATCACCAGACATACTGTGCAGGAAGTTCCACAAGAGTCTCTGATCAAGGACCATACTTAGCACCTAATAATGTGAAACATTTACCAACGGTTAACTACAAGGACAAATTCCTGCACTTTTAAGAATATTTGAGAGCGCAGAGCGAGCAATTCAAGAAGAAGAACAAGGGCTCAAGCTAGATGGTGACTGAAGCAAAGAGTTAGAGGAGAACATGGGTGGTCCAGAAGAAAAAAAGGGAGAGATGTATGCAGAGCTTTCAACGTTTTGTTTTCAGCGACATTTGTCGCGACTCATGAGACAAGCAACTAGTGAGCGCCCCGATGCTCTATTATACATGTCCCTCTCGGATCTCGTTAATTTCGTACAGCCTTTCTTGCTGGCATTGCACGGAGCTTCGATGCAATTTCTCTTTCTCTTCTTGGCAACTTCAGTAAACAACAAACAAGTACAAAACAATGACTACTAAGAGCAATTACAAACTTCTGCAAATTATGAAGTCATTCAGTAGTACCTAGATGTCACATTTCACTACGTCCGTCACCTTTCGATACCTCACCCACGTTCAGCTCTTTAGAGTCTGCATCTCCAGACGTACTGTGCAGGAAGTTCCCCAGGAGTCTCTGATCAAGGACCAGATTTGGCACCTAATAATGTGAATGATGTAACAAAGGTGAACTACAAGAACAAATTCTTTCACTTTGATGAAAATTTGAGAACCCAGAACGAGCCATTCAAGAAGAAGAAGAGCAACATACCTTCTCTCCAAAGAAAATCTTCGTGTTGTCGGCTATTGCTTCGATGAATTTCAGCTCCAGAAACTGGGGGGTCAGCTTCAATTTGTTTGCTTCAGCTTCTTTCATCACCCTGAGATGGGGAAGGATGGAGAGTCGGAAGATAGTATAATTCACTATAAATTTTGGGTTTCTGTAGAGTAGATGGGAATGGTTTAACTTGGATTTACTTGCCGGTAGAATGCAGCATCAGCTAAACTCTTCTCATGAGCCATATACATGTGGTTTTGGATTTCTTGCTGCATCCTTTCACTGTCCTTCTCCGTCAACTTCTGTTCCATGTGAATCTTGCTCACACTGGCACTTTTCTCGGCTTCACTGATAGCCATCTTCTTCGCTGTCTCTGCCTCTTTCTCCACCACTCTTTGTTTCTCAATAGCAATCAAAACCTATTGTTATGTCAAGAGACCTCACCAAGTTATTTCGCTCCATCGTGTATTCTTCCTAAAGATAGATAGCCGTTGAGAGGCAAAATACCAAGTTGGTTAAATTGATTGGTTACCTTTGTGCGCTCTTCTTCCATATGTCTGAAATTCTTTCTTATACTCTCTGGAATCAAAGGCTTTGTCACACGGACACTTAAAATTTCAATTCCAGGAGCATACCTAGTGCAATCAACCTGAAGCGCGTCTTTCATTTTTTCATCAATCTGGAGACAGCGAGGAAAGAACAGTTTTCAATCTTCAAATGGGGAAGGGAAACTAAGGACCAAAAAGCTAGCTCTAAACAAAGGATAGGAATTGGTTGATTAGTTCAATAGCGTCTTCTTCACTCACAACTTAAACCCATAAAATGGATCCGGACGGTAACAAACACAAATGGATTCGTAAGCATATAAATAGCAACTCTTTGTACGTACCTGATCAAACATATCGATATAGACCTGCTGGAGGGAATGAGAGCTACAGAATTGATTGATCTCATGATGAATTTTGTCATAAATCCAAGTATGGTCATACTGCACTCCATAGTTCAATAGGGTGTCGTATACATATTCTTTACGAAGTCGATTAACAACCTGAAAATGTTTATATTGGAAAAGTCAGTTTTACTGAAAGTGCAGGAGCATCTAACTAAACATATTGCAAAGAAAGAGCGATTTCTCAAAAGACTTGCCTCAATCTTTTCAAAGTTTATCATGACACCACCTTTAGTGCCACATGGAATGTCCCTCACCTGCAAGTTTTGTGCAGAGAAATTTGACTAAGCACCATCACGGTGGCAAAGTGGCCCATATCATTTATAATCAAGATATGTCAATGAGTGTCTCTTTACTTGGTCTGTCTGGAGGGTGACTTGAACTGACTCGTACTGGGTTATCAAAGGTAGCTTAAAATGGAAACCTGAACATAAACAACATAACAAGATCACCAACATAATTCTTATCGAAGTTCTAACAAACCTGGTTAAAGAAAAAGAACTGAGGGTATATGCACGCATACCTGGTTCAGTAATTGTGTTCAAAAGGGCACCTCCTCTCCAATATACCCCAACATGGCCTTCTGGCACTTGATGCATTATAGTGAAGCTACTCTTTAAGCTTGATGTGGATGGAACCAGTACCTGCCATGTTTTCCCACACAAACTCTTCAAGCTACTCTTTTCCACTTGCGAGTAATTTTGTGTGTATATATATTATGCCACAATCTTTATATAACCTAAAGTGAGAAAAATGGACTGACAAGGCAAAAACTCAAAGACAATGCAGAAATGATGCTAACATGAACTCTTCCACGAATATCAGGTGGTGAGCTATCCTTTTTCCATCAATGAACATTACAGGAAGTCTGCTGCTTGCATCCGATCTATCATCAGTGATTTGATGAAAGGAAAATCAAATTGATGGAAGCAGCTAGCTTTCATTAGCATCGCATCTACTTAAAGCTTCCCTGATCGTCAAGTTCATTAATATTCATGGAAGAAAATAATGAATGGATGTTCGAGCTACTTCGCATGGAAAAAGGAAATAGGACTGAACCAAGACGGACAACAGATGATTGGACAATTTTGTTAGAAACAAATCCGCAACCCAAACCAAATTCTAGGCAACGAAATACATGAAGCTGTAAGCAGAACGAGTGAAACTACAATCACTCATGAGAAGTCCGATTTAAGACTCAATGGGGAACAAATTTCACCACCGATGAACTAATTGATTCCAGCGCCATACATTGCGAAGAACACCAGATTGTAAGAGACTAACTAACTGACAGCAAAATCAGAGGAACATGAAGACTGAGAAGAAGAAAATCGAAGAGAAGGATACCATAGCTATGATGACTAGGAAGGCCAGAAGTATAGGAATGGGGTTGCCGGCGCCGGGAGGCGGTGGTGGAGGCGGCTGCTGCCGATGCTGTGGAGCGCTTACTCCTCCTCCTCCTCGCGGTGGTGCATCCATGGCGGTTTCTCAGTCAGTCAGGGTAAGCAAGCAAGCACAGAAGTAGGGTTTGCAATTTACTTTGGCAAGTGGAAATGTGGAATTAGCCTACTTCTTCAGACAATAGCAGTTGAATTGAATCGTGATCTTGCTCTCGACGTGGTTTACCGGTTTCGAATGGAGGAAGTGAATGATGTGAAGGCAGGGCTGGACCCAGGAATTTTATATAAGGGTGTCATCTTTAAAAAAATAAATAGTAATAAAAATAATAATTAATAAATATTAAATAATTCTTAAATAAGAAAATAGTCAACTCGTACAAGTTAAAAAAAAGTTCATAAGTATTTTCATATTCTGAAAAAATTGTAAAATACACTTGGTGTCTACACTACTCAACAAAGTTGTCTCGGTATATCCTACTAGACAATCATTCACGAACAAATGCATATTCGACTTCTAAATTAGTTCTTGGTGTAACTCAAAGCTGAAAAGACACTTTCAACACTTGTCGTACACCCATAAATTAAGGGTACCACCCCAATATTTATGTTTCCTACAATTTTGCTATTACACAGTGTTTAGAATAGAACCACAAAATTTTTTGTAGCCTAATGAAAATTATATTTATTAATAATAATAGTGTCCCGGGTTTGAATTACCCAAACTACCACTTATATTCCCATGCGCAAACTACAAACGAGAGTAGTATAATGATTTTTTTCAAATTTTAGGGTGTCCCGGACTATTAATTATAATTTTTTTTCTATACGTAAATTACCACCGGAAGTTGGATAATCGTTTTTTCAAAATTTAGGGGTGTCCGGGGACACCCCCAAACCTCCCTGGGTCCGCCCCTGTGTGAAGGTTTTCAACCCGGATTCAGCCAAGCCGTTTATTGGTCGATTCGAGTTCAACCAATTCAAGTCGGCTTTAACAGAATATGTGAAAATTTGTGTAATACAGTAATACTAAGTAAATTATGCATATATTTTACTTATTTTCAAACAATCTTACTAATCTACATTCATATATTGCCAAATTATTACTTCAGAAAAAATATATATTGCCAAATTATCAATCTACATCTTCACACCTGATTTTGATTGGTCTAATTCGATTTTAACTGGTCAAATCACCCAAGTTTTACTTTGCCCTAGAACTATCTAACCGTGTGTTCCAACCATTCATATGATTGGTTCCGGTCAGACCAGGTTGAATCGAATCACCGGATACTCGTTTGACAACCTTGAATGTTGTTCTGTCCTTCTATGCTGGTTCCAAGCGGAGATTAAGGACCATTAGATCGTTGTAAAAGAGCATTGATTGATGAATTTTCTTTGCCAAATCGTTGTAGTTGAAGCTTTTGGTCGATAGTGGTAATCCGAGATAAATAGAATGCATGAGCATCCCTCGCCACAGACATGAATGATTTATCAAAGTCGATTCTCAGCTTACTTATCGCTTGGAAACACATGCCAAAACATTTTTGTGCTTCTTCCTTGATCGCACCATATGGTATCATCGGTGAATAACAAATGAGTAACTTCATTTAGTCGTCTTCATCCATATAGAACCCATGGAAACCTCCTCCCTCTTGCTTCCTTGCTTCATTGAGCTTTGGATGTCGTGGTGATATTCTCGTCATCAACCTTCTCTTGTCATTGTATCTAGGGATGGCAGAAAAACCCATGCCAATGGGTACCATCCGAACCCGATCCGATTTACGTGGGGAAAAACCAATCCGATTGACTATCGGATCGGATACGGGGAAACCCGAAATAAAAATTAACGGGGATGGGGGGGGGGGGGGGGGACTGGTAATTAAGATACCCGCCCCGAACCCACCCGAATGCCATTAGTAATCCTTAAGCCACGACTATTAATATTACTCTTACTCCTAATCTTTTTGATAGATTCTTACTCCTAATTAATTATATCCTATCTTAACTTTTCCCCTCCCAGCTAGGGATGGCAGAAAAACCCATGCCCATGGGTACCATCCGAACCCGATCCGATTTACGTGGGGGAAAACCAATCCGATTGACTATCGGATCGGATACGGAGAAACCCGAAATAAAAATTAACGGGGATGGGGCGGGGCTGGTAATTAAGATACCCACCCCGAACCCACCCGAATGCCATTAGTAATCCTTAAGCCACGACTATTAATATTACTCTTACTCCTAATCTTTTTGATAGATTCTTACTCCTAATTAATTATATCCTATCTTAACTTTTCCCCTCCCAGCCTCTCACCGCATGCACCCTAACTCCTCGATCTGTTCATTCCAATTGATTTCTTATTTTCTTCTCTTCATCTAGATGCATGATTGGGTGGTTTGATGAAAAGCAGAGCAACAGCCATATTATGATTTATTGTTCCATAAGGATGACTAGGGAATGGGGAAGCAACAGCATACGAGAGTCTCTTCGGCTCTTCTTCCTCTCCATTAATTTCAATATAAGCCCCCTTCTCTCTTTATTTCTCACACTTGCTGGCTTACAAACCCTAAGAAGCAAGAACTTCCATCTCTATTGTGGTTGAAGAATCGAAGTTCTATAAGCAACATCCACCGCTTCTACAAGACAAGCAAGTTTCTCTAAAACTTGAATCGACTTCTTTTTTGGATATGCAGCCTTCAATCCCCACTATCATTAGATTTTGCTTTAAATTTGTAATGACAATTGATGCTACCGTCTTCTTTATTCTATGTTTTCATACGATTACAAACCCCTAATTGCTTTGACAGTAAAGAATATACTAAGTGGAGATGAAATATATATATGTCTTCTCTCTATGTCAAGGTAGTTTAATGGTTTTCTATTTTCATTCCTTACTTTCTTTCTTTTAATCTTGTTTATTCAGGTTATTAGATTATGGATGTTGATCAGGCTATTCCTCACGAAGTTAATCTATCCCAAACCAGTACTCCAATGGTTCAAAGTGTAGCTGCAAATGCTAATACAACAACACAAGTAGATGGGAGTAATATGGAGGTCAATAAAGAAGTTACAGCAGCTAATGCTAATGGACAAGCTGAAATTGAAGCTGAACTAGTGACGGGGAAAAAGAAGAGTGAGGCTTGGAATCATTTCACAAAGCTTCAAGTGAAGGAGTGGATAAGGCTCAATGCAATTATTGCAAGAAACTTCTTGGTGGCAAGTCATCTAATGGGACAACTCACTTGTTGAATCATTCCAGGATATGTATTCAAAGGAAGATTCAAGAAGGAAGTCAAAAAGCTCTTGCCCCTATTTTCAACATCAAAAAGGGAAAACAGGAGATGACAGTCATGTCTTTTGATCCCGATGTTTCAAAGAAAGAACTTGCAGCAGCTATTGTTATGCACGAGTATCCACTTTCAATTGTGGATCACATTGGATTTAGAAGATTTGTATCTTCACTTCAGCCTCTCTTCACCGTTCCATCAAGAAATACTATAAAGAAGGAGGTTATGCATATCTATGAAGCGGGAAGGACAAAGTTGCTCAAGGAACTCGATTCTAATGGAAGCAGAGTTGCTGTCACAACAGATTTGTGGACAGCAGGAAACCAAAAGAGGGGTTATATGTCTATTACAGCTCACTACATTGACAGTTCCTGGACTTTGAAAAGTCAGATTTTAAGGTATCTTTCTTTCTTATCTTGTGCTTTCACGAAACTTATTGTATTTATCATTTTACTTTACTTGATTATAACATAGAAATATTATGGTTGATTTAATTTTAGGTTCATATATGTTCCTGCCCCTCATACAAGTGAAAGATTAAGTGTCAACTTAGTGAACTGTTTGATGGATTGGGGTATTGATATGCAAGTATCGTCAATAACAGTGGATAATTGCACAACAAATGATGCTATGATTTCAAAGGTGAAGGATAAGTTGGGTTTGTCATGCATGTTAAGAGATGGTTCATTGCTGCATATGCGTTGTTGTGCACATATACTGAATTTGATAGTGAGAGATGGACTTGATGTGGTTCGAGAAGGAATAGAAAGGATTCGAGATAGTGTGGCGTATTGGAGCGCCACACCCAAAAGGGTTGAAAGTTTTGAGGATGCTGCTAGGCAATTGAAAGTTCCATTTGACAGAAAACTATGTCTAGATTGCCCGACTAGATGGAACTCGACTTATAAGATGCTCACTGTTGCCATTATGTATAAGAAAGTGTTTGCTAGATTGAAGCAGCGTGACTCTCAGTATACTTCTTTGCCTACAAGTACACAATGGGAATTTGCAGCAGCTGTTTATGATAAACTTGAATTGTTTAACAAGATTACTGAGTTGTTCTCGGGGACTAAATACCCAACATCTAACCTGATATTTTCAAAGATTTGTGATGTTGCTGTATTTAATTTGCAGGTGCCACTGAAGCATCGAAAGTTTGCTCAACATTAGTTGATGAAGTTGAAATTGAGGATGAAGGTACCATTAATAGTTTAATACACTTTTCCCTCAATTATAAAGTTTTTATTTATTTCTAAAACTCGTACAACATCTTGTTTATTTGGTTTCTGGTAGATGGAATCATTGGGATGCTGGAGAAGGTGAGCATTTTGGAATAGAAGATCGGTGGGAAATTGATTGGATAGTGGTTGCAGATGGAATTGCAGATGTCTTTTTATTACTACTGCTCCTTTCTTGTCCTTTTTTGAATGTTCTTTCTAGAATCTCTGCAAAAACTTGGCCATTTGTTAGTATTTGGCAAACTTAGAATTTTGATATTGTCAGATGTGAACCATGACAGATTGTGGGGAGCTTCCCTTTGTGTTTATCCATTCCATTTTGAGTTATGAAAGGCAAGCAGATTAAACAATGGATGCTTTTAAAGTGGTGGTTTAACTTTTAATTATTCTGAGTATTTATCATTTCTCAAGTAAAGTAGATAGAAGATTTGGTTATGGTTATGGTTCGGATTGGTTTTCCCCGATATTTGCGGGGCTCGGGGCTGGTATTATATTTCAGACTCAATGAGAGGTTTGGGGACGGTGATGGTTTTTATATTCGTGTGGCGGGCATGGGGCTGGTATTAGAGAAAACCGACCCCACCCGTCCCCGTTGCCATTCCTAATTGTATCTTTTCCAAAGGGCTAAATTGCAAGTTTGGTCACTAGAATTACTTTAAAATTTCACATTTGCCACTGAAATTAGTTTATTCCATTCGTGGTCACTTAAATTAGTTAACAGTTCAAGTTTGGTCACTGGCCGACTGGCCGTTAGTCTCCGTTAACTTTTGCTGATGTGGCGGTCAACTCTTATAGTTGACCATTAAATGAGTGACGTGGCAATTAAAAAAATAATAAAATATAATTATTTTTTTATTTTCATAAAACATAAAAAAAGAAAATCCTAATTCCTTTAATTATTATTTTCCACCACCAGACCCTCGCCGTTCCTCTCCCCTATGGTAGCCGAATATCTGAAGGCGGGATTCGAAGCCTGCTGGCGTATCTCGACGGTCCTTTCCCTCAGGAGTCCCCCGTGGGAGCATTGAGGAATTTGGTAAACTCCGACTCCAACAAAATCCTTGTCTCACAAGGATTCCTGTCGCGATTGGTCCACGTGCTGAAATTGGGATCGGTGGGAGCCCAACAGGCGGCAACTTCGGCGATATGCAGGGTGTGTCCTACGGCGGAGATGAAGAAGGTGGTAGGGGAGGCGGGGTGCATTCCGCTGCTGATAAGGATGCTGGAGGCTAAGTCGAACAAGGCGAGAGAAGTAGCGGCGTAGGCGATCTCGAGTCTGATGACGGTGTCGCAGAATTGCTGGAAGGTGAGGAAGGAAGGAAGGAAGGAGTGTGCTGAATATGGTGTAGTTGTTGGATGCGAGTTCGCAGAACACGATGAAGAAGTACGCGGTGGCGTGCCTGGCCGACTTGTCGGGGAGCAAGAGGTGCAGGAAGATGATGATCTCGTATGGGGCGAGTGGGTATCTGAAGAAGATGACGGAGATGGATGTTCCTGGGTCCAAGAAGCTGCTGGAGAGATTGGAACGAGAGAAGCTCAGGAGTTTGTTCATTAGGAAATAAAAAGATCTTCTTTCTTGTTCCCTGTAAAATGTGTAATGTTTAGCTCTATTTTTCCTTATTTGTTTACGGTTTGTTATGGGGATAGGGTGTTCATTATCTGTATGAAACGGAAGCAATCAATGGTGGGAAAAAAGAAAACGGACAATCGAAGCTCTTGAAAATTAAACGAACAATCATGATGAGATTCTTCTTGGACTCCATGATCATAGTAGGGCTACAGAAATTATGGTGTTTGTTCTCTGGTCTCTGCCTCCTCCTCCGCTTGATCCATCCGAGTTGGTGGAGTTTGACCCAGCGCCAGGCGGGGAACACGATCCATCGGAGCTGGGAATATCCTTCGCAAGCAGCGCATTTACAGGCTTGGTTATCAACTTAAGCACGGAGGAGGAAGCGAGAGCGGGAGGGACTTTACCGGAGAGGTTGTTGTTAGAGATGTCAAGAATTAAAGGAATAGTATCCGTGACGGAGGGGAGAGGAACAACGACAGTTTAGTGGTGGAAAATAATAATTAAAGAAATTAAGTTTTTTTAATTTTTTTATAATAATTAGGTGGAAAATAAAAAATAATTAGATTTTTTTTAATTGCCACGTCACTCATTTAATGGTCAATTATAAGAGTTGACCGCACATCTGCAAAAGTTAACGGAGACTAATGGCGAGTGACTAAACTTGAACTGTTAACCTAATTTAATTGACTACGGACGCAATAAACTAATTTCAGTGGCAAACATAAATATTTTTGTGCTTATTCCTCAATCGCATCATATGGCATCATCAACGAATAACAAATGAGTAACTTCATTTAGCCGTCTTCTTCCATACAGAACCCATGGGAACTAGGGGTGGGCAATGGGCGGGTTGGGTGGGTTTTGGTTTCAAATTGACCCACCCGCTTACTAGCGAGTTGGAATAATTGTGACCCGCAATCCATCCACATACTTCTGCGGATTGGGTTGGGTGGGTGGCGGATGCGTGCGGTTGGGTCGTGGGTCAACCCGCAAAAGCAATTCTCCAACTAGCCATTAAGAAATTGGACTAGCATTTATAATAAGTTCATAGCAAATTAGCAAGATTGTATCAATAATTTATGATTTTGATGCAATTAATAATTTATACTTTCCATCCCAATATTTAATGGATATTAACAATAATTTGCATACCAATATCGAATATCTAATAGATATTGCACAACAAAACAACCAATAATAATAGTCAAAAGGGTTATAGGTATAATATGCCCCTCTACTATGACGTTTTATCAAACATGCCCCTATACTATTTTTTACATCAAACATGTCTCTGTACTTTGAAAAAATTATCAAACATGCCTTTCTGTTAAAATTTTTATTGAAAAATCGTCAATCATGGTTGAATTGAGATTTAGACGACCCGACATCGACAAATGGGAGGGAAAATGTCAGTTTTGTCACCTGTTTTACTTCCCGGGTCTTTTCAAAGTGAAATTATTTGAATGATTTGATTATACAAAAGAACCAAACAAATTCTAAAGAGAATTTATTAGGAATATTTTAGTCATTTGTGTCGCCCAAACTAAAGTTCGGCCTTGGTTAACGGTTTTTTTTATGGAAATTTTAACAAAAGGGCATGTTTGATCATTTTTACAAAGTACAGGGGCATGTTTGATGTAAAAAATAGTAGAGGGGCATGTTTGATAAAACGTCATAGTAGAGGGGCATATTATACTTATAACCCTAGTCAAAACTATTCTTTATTCTCCACCTTTTGAAGTATATAGTGAGACTGTAGTGCAGTTCGAAAATATGATGAATATTCGATACTATAAGACACAACATTTTTCATGTACAAATCGGATGCGGGTCATACGGGTGACCCGCAATCCACCGACCACCCACTCACATAAGTGTGGGTGGGAGATTTATCAATTCGCAATCCACCCACATCAATCACCCACTGCGTGCGGGTTGGATTATTTGCGGGTGGATCGATATCAATCCGCGGATTACCCACCCACGTGCCAACCCCTAATGGAAACCTCCTTCTTGCTTCCTTGCTTCATTGAGTTTTGGATGTCGTGGTGATATTCTCGTCATCAACCTCCTCCTGTCATTGTATCCTTTCCAAAGAGGTGCAGAAAATCATCACATGTGATACAATGTAGACAAAAGAGAAAAAGGCTGGATATCATTTTCTTTTATATATGAACAACCAACGCCAAACAAGGTAAAAAGGATGATGACGATAGATAGTAGATTTGGATCCTTCTCTTCTTTTTTGCAGAACAAAAGACAGACATAAGATATTTGTAATCATAATACTCGCGCTGTAATGGGCCTCCATAGTCCATACCCTGGACTCAAATTGGCGGGAGCCCAACACTTTCCAACGGCAGGAACATCTCCTATACACGCGCCGTTTGAGCCGCGTGACGCAGCTGATTTGTTATTTTCAAACGAAAAAGAGAGTACAGAAACGAACAGTACAGTCCCCCGTCCGCTCTCTTGCGGAAGCTGCAGCAACACTTTCCGCTTTGCTTACATGGCCGCTCCCCGCCCCACAGATTATAACCTCCCCTCTCGCCTCTCGGCTTATTCTTTCTTCTCCTTACCACCGCCGTCCACAGTCCAGAACGGAAACACAATCTAGAGATTAGAGCACAGTACGAAAGGGTTCGCCTCTAATTCTGAATCTTGAATTGATGTTGCTTTTCGCCGTCGCAATGCCGGGCCCGGCGTGGACGGCCGCCGTCAACAGCAGGAGAACCACCACCACTACCCATTTTCGTCCTCGTTTCTCCGTCTCCTCGGTGGCGGACGGTTTGGGTTTCCCTTCTTTTCTGCCGAAAGAAGTTGAGGGTATCAAAGACCCATATGCGCGGAAGCTCGCTTCCAGAATCCAGCGGCTCCCCGTTACTGTAATTTCTTCGTTCTCTGCTCTAGGGTACCATTTTTTTCGTTGATTTGCAGATTTTTTAGCTTCTGGGTTGATGACATTGCAGGTTGGGTCTTCGAGGGATTGTATAATGAGCAGTTGTGTGATGCCATTGTCGTCGACTCAGAGCAGGGCTACTACTAGCCCGATGGTTCTCCTCCATGGATTTGACAGGTTCCTTTTTCTTGTTAAGTAGAACCCAATTGATTATGAAAAAAGAAGAATCAAAGAGATTGTGTGTTTCTGATAAATGTGTCGTCTATAGAATAGAGTGGTCATAAAATTCAATAATTCAGTTCATGCTTAGAATGGAGATACGCATTGCCACAGCTTGAGGAAGCTGGATTGGAGGCTTGGGCTGTTGATGTTCTTGGTTGGGGTTTCTCAGATTTAGGTTTGTTCTGTATTTCATCGATTCTGCTCTGCATTGGCTCAACTTTTAATGTTGGTGGACAACAACTTACTACCTTGTTTGTTTTTCTCCTTTTTGCTTCCATTTTTGGCACTTTGATGGAATTCCTAGAAAAACTTCCACCATGTAATGTTCAAACAAAGAGGGAACATCTGTATCAGGTACTTGCTAGATCTGGCAAAAAAATGTTTGATTGAGGAATAATTTAATTTGCCTAAGGTGCATGCTTCTCCTCATCCCATTATGTATGTTTAACTATATATCAAAATGTGTAAAGCTAATTTGTCATTCATTTTTACCAACTAACCTCAGCTTTGGAAGACCTACATTAGAAGGCCTATCATTTTGGTCGGGCCAAGCCTCGGTGCTGCCATTGCGATTGACTTTGCTGTCCAGTATCCTGAAGCTGTAAGCACATCTATATAACATATTTCTTAATTCAAGCTTCATTTCTCCATTGTGTAGCTTAAGTTATTGTACATCAGTATATCCAGAAGACTGCTATAGGTTTGCAAGAAGTGAACTGTTGCTGCATCCATGCAATGCGCAACAGTGCCTAAGATGAAAACACTCTCGCTTATTTTCTACAGGTGGAAAAGTTGGTTTTGATTGATGCAAGTGTGTATGCTGAAGGGACAGGCGGCATGGCGACACTACCCAGGACAGTAGCATATGCAGGGGTATAACTGTCACTCACTCTCAAGCTTATTGAATCTATGAGAAGTATAAGAAGCCAAATGTCTTCTGCTATCCACTTCCTTAATCATCCTCTCTAGCTTGTTTAACGTTAAGAACTCATTCTGAATCAGGTGTATCTATTGAAGAGTGCGCTGCTCCGTTTGTTTTTCAATGCCCTCACCTTTGACTGGTTACCGTTGAGTACTAGCATAGATTGGATGAATGTGAGCCTCACTTCCCGTATGAACATTGTTTTCTGGAGTACGAGACATTCAGAAGAGCAGTGAAAATAAAATTTTGCCTTCTGCTTGTTTTTTCTTTTCTTTCTTTCTTCCTCTCTCTCTCAGATCGGGCGTTTGCATTGCACGTATCACTGGTGGGCTGATGCAACTGTGAACTTCATGAGAAGTGGTGGCTATGATGTCGCCCGTCTTATACCAAAGGTATTTTGTTCAGCACCTAGGTGGTATATTAGTACGTCCCTTTTCTAAAATGTTATGGAGTTACTGAAGACCATTCTCCTTGTATCATTTCTTCCTGTGAAAACTTTCAAAGAGGAATAATGTCAAGCTCAGTCCTATCCTTAAAAAGAGCCTCTGAAAAATCTTCTGTCCTTTCGCCTATAGATGCTTCGTGGTTCTACTAGTCCTCGAAACTGATTGTTGCCCTGTGTCTTTGAATTTATGGTATATTTCAGATCAATCAGAAGACACTGATCATTTGGGGGGAAGATGATAAGATCATCAGCAGCAAATTAGGAGTGGTTAGTGCTAGCTGACGCTTACTTTATATTTTCAACATTTCAACAAATACTCGACCCACTACATTCTTCAGAAAAGCTGCTCCTCTGATTCTATTAGATTATGTGATTTGCAGAGATTACACTGTGAGCTACCAAATGCAATCATACGACAAATACCGAATTGCGGCCACATCCCTCACGTGGAGAAACCCAGCTCTGTTGTCAAACTGATCAAGGAGTTTGTCCAGGACCAGGAAGATCGTTCTAGAAAGGAGGATCAGCTTGTTGGCACTCCAGTGACTGGCTTTGGTAACATCATGTCTTAACTTTAGCATAGCTCAGCTGCAGAATTAGTTAGTTGCGACGTGGATGTTTGGTCATGTAACTGCTGAGAACTCGACCCGTGTGCAGGTTGATCTGCTGCATAACGGAATCTAGGAGCTTAAACTTGGTAGGAAAGTTGATATGTGATAATAAGTGCTGGTTGGTCTGCTTTATTTTTGGGTAGAATGCTGGTTGGTCTGCTCGTAATGGAATTGAAAGTATCAGTAATGATATATTAGAAGAAGCCTTTCAAGCTTTGATTAGTTGCCAATTCGCTTTCATTACCTTCTCCCTTTTCAAGTAAGCTACGAACGATAAGAACAACAAAATTCGGTTGACACTTAAGTATTGCAATAGTTGCACGTGCACCACTAAAAATAATTTTTTGCAACTAAAGTATATATGTCGTATTTCGGTTGCAACGTCACAACTTCTGTCCACAGATCTAACTGTAGGTGCCTAGATGGTAATTTATCGCAAACGAAATCTAGAATTAATGGAGGAATGAAGGAATTGCATTTGCATGAGTCTGATTCAATTACTTGGAAGTTGGAACGATGGAAGTTGTGATGATTTTGTTCTCCTTTCTTCTCACGGATCGACTTGCTAAATCAGACTCCTTTCTTCTCACCATTGTCTTGCTAAATTGGTTTCTTTTTTATATACTAGCATAGTGCCTAGCCTGTTAGCCAGGTGTTTGATTATTATGTATTTTGTATGTGTTGCTAGTACTTATAATGGAGGTAAATACTAAATACCAAAGATATGCAACTATTAGTGATATACATGTTCACAAAGAAAACATTTATGATCTATTTTTATATATAGTCCAAAATATTTTTCAGTATTTATCATATTTGTTGATCACGACACATGTTATAGATATGAAATTCTATGATTTGAAAGGGCACGATGTAGATGGATAGTCACAAATGAAGACCTTAAATTTTTTATTTATTTACAAAAGATAATCTTATATTGATTAAAAAAGAGATCAAACATATTACACACTCGTATATAACCAGGAAAAGAAATCAAAATAACGACACGTAGCCAAAGAAAGGGTTTTTCTAGCCACCACGTGTAGGGGTGTTCAAACGGTTTGGTTACCATGGTAACCGTTTTAACCGGTACTATTTGGATAATTTGGTTTGGTTAATTGGTTTGGTTTGGTTTGGTTAAAGTTTTTAGATTGTTTGGTTTCAGACACTCCTAACCAGTCAAACCAAATTAACCAGTTAAATAATTAGTCATATATCTAACATATATTATATACACATACTTAATACTTTGCATAACCACTCAAGAGTTAACGTTCATCCCTTTTAGACTCATAAAATATAAAGCTCAATATTGCTCATATAATGTATATTTGTATATGTAAAATGTATACCACAACATATGGACGCCTAATTTAGATAAATTTCATACATTATGATGGATGAAAACTTGAAAGGAAGGTCATTTCCAGCCTATGATAATTGCTAAGAGACTAAGTCAATTTACACAAACACAACAATTCATTAACCCATACCATTGTCATAAATTTTTGCTAGGTGAATACTTCTATACTAATCGTAAGATAATTGTCTTAGTTGCATGTATTTTTGTTAAGGGTCAACTATAACTACGTGTTGATTGTTATGTTTTATTCATTATATAAATTGCGAATTGTTGCATTAACCAGAAAATTTTCATTGCCAGTGATAATGTGATTTTATATTGGTTAATCTGGTTAACCAATTAACCAAACCGATTAAACTTTAGTTTGGTTAATTTGGTTGTTGTATTAGTTTGGACGGTTTGGTTATGATATTGTATTATATGGTTAATGGAATATGGCCTTATTTGGTTTGGTTATAACCATGGTAACCATTTAAACACCCCTAACCACGTGGACTACCCTATTGCTATTCCAACCTACAAATCGCACAATAAAACCATTCTGATTTGCCACCAAACAAAGAACTTTCTCAAGAATCGCTGCAAAGTGATTATATTATGTATCAAGCTGGTTGGCCTAAATTACTATTTCAAAATTTGATATTTTGCCTCATTTCCTAATTCACTTAATCAACACAAAAGATTAGGGGCAAAAATCAAGTACTTCAATAAAATTGAAAGCTAAATATCATGAAGATCTTATGAAATCTTTGAAATCTTGCACCAAGAGAAAAGTTTGATAACATATTCAGCAAAATTGTTGCAATTCTTTCCACAATAGGTCAAGGAGTCAGACTCCTCCCAACTCCAAATATTCATCTCCAAATTTAATTGTTACATGCATACCCAAAATATTTGAAGTATATGCAGTTAGCTTATAAAGCTAAAAAGAAAATAAATTTCTTGAGATAAACTTCACATCAAACATTGAATGAATTTAGGAGTTAGAAAGGCAAATTTGACCGACCAACAAAAGAAGTGCATTTTACAGAGACTTTAGTAGATTATGAATAAGGGGAAAATGTCATTGGGAGTCTCAAATTCGGTAGACGGAAAGCGAAAGACAAAAGTAATTAATTTATTCAACAAAAAAAAAAAACAAAAGTAATTAATTTATGGGTCAAGAGAATCATTGAATGAGGGACAACGAAGCACAATAATAGGAAAACATGCCACGTTTGTTAACCATTATAATTTTTTGGACAATAGAAAATAAAACCCAATAAGAAAAAAAAAGAAAACTACCATTTTCTTTGAAGAAAAAATACACGTTTGAAAATTTATAGGCTTAGAGGCTTTTGAAAATTAAACATGTAAACGAAAATTTATGTTTAGTAACGATTGTCATTATCTGAAAATTTTGGTGGTCTGGTTACCACATTTTAAAATTTTATCAGTATTTACAATACCGTATCAACAATCTAAAGAAAAAATAGCCTATCAAAGCCAAAGTTCATAGGCTATTTTAGTTGCATGAAATGGTTAAGTGCAAACTTTAATACGGTTTTACAAAATGTGTAAAAATTAATATAAGTATTGAGATATATAGATAATAAATCGAATTAATCTAAATCAGAAACAATTCTCAAAATTGGTGAAACCAATTTTTGTGCCAACAATAAATATACTTTTAGTGAATAATTACATAAAATTTAAAAATAATTAAATATTAAATCCCGTTTTCTCGATAATTAAAATTTCACTTTTTTATGTAACTTTCTTTAGGGAGTTACATAATTTAAATGAATTGATTATCATCAGAGGATTCGCCTCTTTTCTTGATAATCCTTTATCCATTATTGTGCATAAAAATAAAATGTAATTTAATACTCCTCACTTTATCGACTTCTCCATCGCAACCTTTAGTATCTTTAAAATACGCTGAATTTTTTATTTAGCATAAAGAAATCCATAATCTTCAACAACCTCCCAAAACCCAATTAGGTAGGTTAAAACTCAAACCCGAAGTAATTTAAGTGAGTACGGAAAAATTATGAATCCGCATGTTGGGGGTAATGGGTGGGCATGATTTTGTAACAATCCAACCCGAACTCGTGCAATTTACACACACATAAGTATTTTATCTAAAATTATCATTATATTTCTTAACATATTTGATATTTATGACACTCATATAATATTTTCACGTAATTATATTATTTTTAACTAATTTTCTTAATTTTAGTGATTTATTGCCATACTTTTTCATTTCTGTAATGCCACTATACATGTGAATGTTAGCAAGTTCGATGGAGTTATAAAGATAGATGATTACTCATGGATAACTGTTCATACGTAAAAACCTATAGGATATGGCATGATTTTGATTGTCTACTGAGTTTTGTGAGTATCGGTAAACGCAAACTATTTTAGGTATGATAATGAATGTTGTCGCAACCGTCTCTCGGAATTGGGGCACTCACATTCTTTTCGGATTCGCCATCGAACTTAGCTTGAAGTAGATAGAACGCTATTTTGGTATTGGTCTTAACCTTATGGTTAAACATAGGAAGAGAGGATTAATTTAAAGTCAGAAGTAGCAACTAAATAGATGATATTGGAAGACAAAACATAATAATTTTATAATGCCCTTTAGCACACATGAAATAAATCATAATGAGACGCCCTGACATCACATCCTGTGACTACTTCTATAGTTCTATTCTATGTTAACCAAAATCATAAATCACATCCAAACATATGTTCAAATATAAACTCAGCATAACCAAAATTTGGATTAAACACAATATAAAATGGACAAAGATCTATCATATCACTATTTCCTCTTTGATTTTGGAGCCAAACTCTTTTTTTTTATACAAAAGATAATCATATATTGATCAAGAAAAGGTAGTTACATCCTGGACACCAGCCAGGCCCGGAAATCGAAAGAACGACTCATAGTCGGGAATAGAGAGAGGGCTTTCCTAGCCACCAAATGGGCTACCCTATTGCTACGCCGACCTACAAATCTAACACTAAACCCAGGATTCCCGGCAAAAATCTGAATGAGCTCATCTAGTACAGCACCCAACCGACTATCTCGAGCCTCCTTGTGGTTGATTTTATCAATGACAATTTTCGCATCCCCTTCAAAGGTAATGACCACCCAACCGAGCGATTGACACCACAGAACAGCTTCACGCAGTGTAACCAATTCCACTACCAAGGGATCATCAAACCATGGAAACTGCACGCCCTTCACCATCAAAACCTCCCGATCCGGGGTGAGAAGAACCAAACCTTCAGCTGAGTGCGACCCACTCCGGACAGCCACATCCCACATACACACCACACCATTCCTCCGAGCAGGCACATGATGGGTGAGGTCAGCCTGGACCCGAAGGGGGGTCTTATCCACCGGAAGCCGGATCCACTCCTCATATTGCTGCTGGTACTGACGCATCAAGGCAGAAAAACCAAACTGTTTGCCTTCAAAGATCACCCAGTTGCGAGATCGCCAAATACGCCATAGGACAACCACAACGGCCATAAGAACAGTAGGTTGGTAAATCAAAGCCATAAGACGCTTAAGGAAGAGGGGGAAAGTATGACGAGGGAGCCCCTCCCCTAGGTGAGCCAACCCAACATAGTCCCAAAGGGCCCACGCTACTGGACAATCGAGAAACAAATGTTCCATGGTCTCCGAACTAGCCCAACACACAGGGCATCTGGGAAGCACATGGACCTTCTTCTCAATAAGGGCTTCAGAGGAAGACCTTTAACTTGGGAGCAATATTGGCCTCCCACACACGAATCCAAATGCGCCAACCAATTTTGGCTAATAACGCTTGATTAAATTGCTCAAAACGACGGAACCCCATCCCAACATCATGTTTACTACGACACATATTTCGCCAGGACATCCAATGAATACGAAATTGGTCATCACCATCGCCCCACCAGAAACGAGCCACATGTTTGTCCAGCAGCCGACATAAAGATACTGGCAGTTTGAAGCAGGACATCACATGCAAGGGCAGTGCCAACGCGATGGATTTTATCAGAGTCTCTTTTGCTGCCCAAGACAAGGTCCGCTGTTTCCACCCTTGAAGACGGTCTAATAACTTCTCCTCAAGATACCGGAAAGTGGCCAATTTTGAGCGCGCAATCAGCGAGGGTAACCCAAGATACTTGTCATGCACCCCTACCGCTCCCACTCCCAAAATAGCAGCCAGAAACTCCTGATCCGTGCGGATGATATTTCGACTAAAACAAACAGCCGATTTATCTAAATTAACCCGTTGGCCACTCAGTTCCTCGTATTCATTCAGAACCTCTATCAAATTCTCACATTCCTGTAGAGTACCCCTCAAAAATAGATAAGAATCATCAGCAAAGAATAAATGGGAGATACGGGGCGCTCGGGGAGCCACCTTCACCCCTTCTAAACGACCCTCCAGGATAGCTTGCCGTAGGAGCGCCGCAAAGCCCTCCGTGCAAAGCACAAATAACAGAGGGGATAAAGGATCCCCTTGCCTTAATCCTCTGGAGGAGGTGAAAAAGCCTGAGGGGGTACCATTCATGAGGACAGAGAAAGAAGCAGACCGGAGACATTCTTGAATCCATCCTCACCAGGTAGAGTTAAAACCCATTTTTTCCAAAATAGCAAGAAGAAAGGACCATTCGACTCTATCATAGGCCTTTTCCATGTCAACCTTTAGAGCCATGTATCCTTTCTTACCGCGCGTTTTGATTTTCAAATAGTGCATTAACTCATGCCCCAAGAGTATATTCTCAACAATCTGCCGGTCCCGAATAAACGCATTCTGACCCTCCGATATAATTTGCGGCAAGAAACCAGCAAGACGTTCTGTCAAGATTTTGGCAATAATTTTATAAACAAACTGACATAGGCTAATAGGCCGTAATTGCCGCATGGATTCCATCTTGTCAACCTTCGGGATCAAAGTAAGCCAGGTATGGTTGAAGCTGCGGAGTAGTCGACTTGTCGTGAAGAAAGAGCACACCGCGTCCACTACCGAACTCCCTACAATATCCCAGAAGGTTTTGAAAAATTTACCAGTGAACCCATCCGACCCAGGCGCTTGTTTTGATCCCATGGCAAACACCATTTTCCGAACTTCACTAGGGAGAACCTCCGCCGTCAGGCTAGTATTCATCTCAGGGGTAACATTACGAGCAATAGGCAAACCTGCCACACGCTCAGCCATGTTAGCCACCTGATTCTCCGTTGTGAAGAGGTTCTGATAAAAAGATGTCGCAATGCTTGCCTTGCCATTCTCATCTGTAATCCAATCGCAGTCTCAGTACGAAGGCCCTCCACAAAATTCTTTTTACGACGAATTCTGGTCACTGTGTGAAAATAGGCTGTATTTTTATCACCCTTTTTCAGCCAGTGAACCCTAGACTTTTGTTGCCAGTACTCCTCCTCCACCTCCCACTGACGACTTAATTCCTTCTCCAGATTTATGACCTCATCCCAATTAATGGGTTGGATAAGCTTAACCCTATCAATTTCACTCTGGAGAGTCCTGATATTCCGCAAGGAGTTCGTAGTGCCAGCCCTACTCCAGTCATAAAGTAAATGGCGTAATCTCTTAAGGCGCTCCCAAAGGCAGAACATGGGAGTCCCCTGAATATCCTCCTTCCAAACATAGCAAACCATAGCTCTCACTTCTGGATTA